TGATTCTTTGTGACTAAAGGTACATACATATGTCTCGAATATGCGAATAAAACTAATTTAAATGCCACGAAAATATTCAACACAAAAACAGAATTTTTGGAACCAGATAAGTTCTGCCACAGTTTTCTATTGAACACACGGTCTTCGTTGCAAATGCTTTTCAGAGACTAGGTATCAGGCGAATAGAAACACGATCTCCTCTAATCAAGACCTTCATGCTTGGATCTCTTTAAATGAACGATAAACCAGAACAAACCAAGGAATTACGATCATTATATGTATTCACATCTGACACTCGCAAATTCAAATATTTTTTTCTACAATTTTCTTTAAACGAAAATAGATTTAATTAAATTTAAACATACCTAAGCGTGTTTAAATATATGTATATATAAGCGCTGACACTTTCTTGAAACACATTTGACACTCAACAAATAAACGAGCACCGAAAGAAAATGTTCTTCAAGAAAAAGGATGCAACATCTGCCGCAAAAAAAGTGAAGAGCGTGAAAAGTGATTCGGCGTGAAAGGTTAAACCGATTCGAATCCGGTTGCCGGGGCGCCAGCGAAAGGGTTCAACAGCTGTTGTCTTCAACTCTTCAAACGTTAATCAGTTTCCCCGAGCCCCTTGAGCAGCCTTTGGAGACGAATAAATAACTCTGCCCCCGTTTCGGCCACAAATTAAAGGTAAACTAATTGAATTTTCATAGAGCAGTGGGAGCTTCGTCACTTTTTGATTAAGAGAAGTTATCACGAAGCCCGCGCAGTGGCTTCTGGTTTTGTGGCAGTGCCATAAAGACACTTTTAATTGCTGGAAATGTGCTGGCTCCCATCTATCTACGCCTGCTGCCCCTCCTCGTTCCCCAACTAATAAGCGCCGCGGGAATTAGGAAGTTGAGGAGCTGTGGAAAGGCAGCAAGTCTCTCGAGACAGAGCCTCTGAAGTATACTCGTAGCTGGAACGATTTGTTGTTTTGAAGTCTTGGCTGATTTCAAAATGAACGAGATGAGCGGTATTTGAGCTGGATTAAATAATTAAATATTGTGGAATTGCAGTGTCTTTCAATCGGCTACGGAAATAAAAGCAAAAAAAGGTGTAATATGAAAATATTACCAATAGAAAATATATTAGGTAATATATTAGCTAAAAAAAACTTTGAATCTAGTTCCAATATGTCCACTTAAAAACTAAGTAAATATAAAATTTGTTTCCACTCGTGCTTATAATTTTAATCGGTTCAAACTTTAAAGAACATTTACAAGGCTCATAATATTATCATCAATCTGGTCTAAACCCACTCGGAGCTTAATAATCATTTTCCTATCTTAATTTCTATATCTTTGTGGCATTACCATATTTATGATGCCCCGATGAGGCCCTGATATACATATGTACTAAATAGTTGCACAAATAATTGTGTGTGTTTTGCGCTCCTTTCTGTATATGCTCCAGCTCCAGATGTTCGACGGACCCCGAGCAGTCCGCCATTGAGCAATGTGGCCCTATTGAGTGCTTTCCTACCATCCTTCTACCTGCTTCCTGGTCTCTCCACCTCTTACTTTGCATTACAAATTGCAAATGTACACTTGTGTAGGTATATTACACACTTAAACATACGTGAACACGAAGAAACATGAAAGGGTTCCGCTCATGGAAACACATAATGGATAAGATCCGCCAGTAAAGGATAATTCAATCCCAATTGCTTTCCATTTTCCACAGCGGCAGTATGCAAATCTCAGCTTTCCTTCCCAAAATTTATCCTCATCCCCCTCATCGGTTTAAACCCAATCAATTGCTTTAAAATAAACTCTTGAACAAAGCCATAACAACGACGACAGACGCAGAAAGCTTTCAGTATTATCTCAAATGACAACACAGCCGCGTGAAAAAAAAACCGAAGACCAACGGAAATCGTACATTTGAAAGACAAAAGCAAACAGTGTAAATAAAAGACCGAAAGAAAAAGCTGGCATGCACAATGCAAAGCAGCAGACAAAAATACAAATACAAATGCAAGGAGGAGATCTGAAAGCCGGAAAATCTGTTAAGAAAAACCCAGTTAAATGGGCAACCCAACACGGGCTCAGTAGTTGGCCAAGCAGTGGTGTGGGTGTGGGAAAACAGGCACCAAAATGGTACCAACAAACGCCCCGAGCCGCCTACGCTTGCGGTCAAGTGCGAGTCCTGGCTCGAATGAAGGTGTATCGGCTGAAGGTGGCTAGGATTTAGAAGGGGATTACGTACTCGTAAGAACTCCCATGACAATGATGTGCCCAGAATGACCATAAATGGAGACGTCTTCTCAATGTCCCTGCGGGACACGACCTGCGAATTCGGACACCTTTCAATGTGAGGGATATATTTAATTATTAAAAACTGGATTGGCACACTAAACGCTATTCGTAAGAATCCTTTGAGCTTGATGTTTGGCCAGATAAATCGCTCATTGATGGATACGTTCAATAAAAGTCAAAATTTGTAGGCTACGGGCTTACATTTCGGCTAAGCCCAAATATTTTAATAAATTGAATAAATTGCAAATCCGCAACTCATGTCTGTAACCTGTTCTCGTTTACCCGAAATTCATTTTTAGCAATTTAAAATCCATCCAGACCCAGCTGGGGAGTGGATACTCGTACAATGCGATATGTATTTATGCGGCGAAGATACTCAAAGTAAGCGCCACCGCCAAGTGGACAGAATCCTGTGGCCATCCCCAAGTTGGTGCCGAAAAGGTAAACGGGCTGGCTCCCCATTTCCATATGAAAGGGATAGCGATGGATTGGCATGAATGCCATCCCCAGCCAGATAGGAGTGTACAAGTGTGTGCACGTATGAAATATTCACACATAATGTCGGGAAATTTATACTTGTGCTATTCTTTGTAATGTCAGACTCAGCTGCGGCTGCCGTTTTGATAGTCAATATTGGATGTTTATTTATTGTTTAGATGTTTGAAGCCCGGCCCCAACACGGTAACACACATTTAAATATAGCGTATACGAAGTAAAGGAGGGGGGTTTAGCCTAGAGGCGGAGGCGAAACCCCAAAACCTTTGACTTAATCAACAAATGGAATTTCTGGAAAAATGTCTACATGTTTAATATGAGACTGAAGCTTCTTCAAATGGATTTTAATTATATAAACACTCGTTTACTCGTTCCAATTTCCCAGCCTAATCCTTTGTTCGCTGCCAGCTCGTTTCGCTGGCTTTCAATAGACAGGCCTAGCGTCTTCAGTGCAGTCGGACAATTGCAGGCATGACATTAGCGACATTACGATTTTCTATTTCCCTTTAACAAAACAGAGAAATCTGTGGAGGCCGGCTTGTCACAAGCTTGTCATCCGTTCAACGTCGGCAGCTGGGACAGGGCCACCGGAAGTGGGCCCATACCAGCGCCCACTGAAAGTTCGCTCGGGAGAACATTTTTCCTGCTAATTGTTTTTCAATTTGCGCTGGAAATCGAGTTAGGAGATATTTTATAACTGTCATTCTCAGCTCTTTGACGAACTTGAGTACTTAATGGGCGTCAAGTGGTCGGGTTCGAGTGGCATTTATTAGCGGGCCATTTATTAATGATTCACTTCCATTAATTATCTTCAACTTGGGGGCAGAGTGGGATTCACATGCAACTGGGATTTAAAAATTCCTCCAACATTAATCAACCGTCTTTTAGGCATCAGCCTAGCGCTGCTTAGATTTGAGTAATTACTGTGGCCATAATTACTCTATTAACACTTCAGAGAACCCCTTGCAATATCAGATTTCGAATAGATTGTACTTTACAACCACTACTGTGTGCTATTAGCAAACGACTATTGCTGTTCGTCAGCTCTGGGCCGATTTAGTACCGTTGAATCAGCAATACTCGTACAACTGGAGTTTAAGGGACTAATCAATCTGTGTAATTATGGTTTTCGCTTATCAACCAGTGCCGGAAAAGTGTAATGTGGTGTTTTAGATGATTAATTCTGAGTGTTAACGGGATTGTTATCTGGATGACGAACGGAAATTTTCTCATTCGAACATTCTGTCAAATCCCTGGTTCTAAACTTTTCCTTTTTTCAATAATTTATGCACTTTTTTTAAGAAAATGTTTTTAGTAAAGAATTTTATTATTATTAATAAATGTGTCACTATTTCTGATTGGAATTACCAGTTCTCAACCAGTACCGGAAAAGTATGATTTACTTATACAGAATTTACTGGATTACTTCAAGACTAAGAATGGGGATTTTCGCAATCTAACGAGTGAGATATTGTGAGGAATCATGCTTTTAAATCGCTGGTTTTTGATGAGTTTTGAAAACAAAAAAATGTCTCAAGCATGAGCTTTGTGTATTTATAGGAAACAATCAATTTTAGTAAATTGTCATTCCAATTCCAATTCAGTACAGTTATGTGTTTTATGTTATGTGATTCACTTTGGAACAGGCTCAAATCTATTAAGCCAGTGTCGTTTTACACTAATATCTCCAATAAATAGTGTGAAATCCCCATAAGTAGGCGATTACTTTACCTCTTCGGGGATATTAACGCCGTTTAACCAGTAAACATGATTGGAAATGAATAACTTTTTCACACACTGGACCGATGAACAAGATTTTCGATGAATTGAACAAGTCTTTGATTTGGCCACTGCACCACACGGAGAACACAAGAGAAGAACTCAGAATGGATGCTCTTAAAGAAATCGAAGCCTTTGACTTTCTCCGGCTGGTTGGTCCACTAGAATGTTGTTTTCTGCCAACGAACGCCGCGCGTTGACTGAGGCTAAGGCAGCAACGCAGCATCCTTAAATAGCGGTTGGGTTGAGCCTCCGACAGCATCCGCTACGCGTTGTTGAAAAAGCTCGGGCCCCCACATCGGCGGGCCGCTTGGCTCGTGTCCCGGCTAAAGCTCTCCGGGTGCGTGTGGCTGGAAGGCGAGAGCTGTGGAAGGAGAGGACGGAGCCGCAGCCGGAGCCGGGAGCTCGCAGGAAGAAAACACTTGTTGCTGGTTTTTTCTCGGTTTATTCTTTAGGAGCGGGGTTTTAGTTTTACTTTTCATGCAACGGGCTCGCATCTTGTTCCGGAACTGTGGAAAGATGCACTTGAATATCTCGAGTTGTTTTCCCTCTTTTTTCCAACATCATGGAGGTTAAACGTAAATGTAACAGGTAAACTTAGCTTAAAAAGATAGCATTACCACTAATACTAGTCTATTGTACAATTTACTACATGGTGTAGTATTTTCCTTCAACTTTTCCCCAGTCTAGAAATGGTTTTGTTCAATAATCTTAGCCAATTCATAACGGGGACCCACTTAATGACACGAATTAAAATTGGAAGAGCTTACAAATGGCGCGCAAACTTGCTGGCTTCCCTTGAATGGATGGATGATTGCGAGACTGGAGAGACTGGAGAGACGGGCCGTACTCCAAAAACGTGTCGGGGCCGGACTTTGATCTTCCGAAGCGATAGCGGCGTGTGTTGAGCTGCTTGTTGCATCGCATCGTGGCTGCAGTTCGTTCTGATTCTGGTTCTGGTTCTGGTACTCGTACTGGTACCGGTACTGGTGGTGGTGGTGGTGGTGATGGTTGTATATATACAGGTATACAATAGAGAGACAAGACATTAGTATAAACCGTTTCAATAATTTAAAGAAGACAACAAACATTAAGCCTAAGCCTTAATATTAGTTTAAAAATGATGGGAAAAGAGTGGAAAATAATATTAAAAAAAAAAAACAGAGAAACAAAAATTTGTTTTCAGCACACAGCACACGTTAGCTCTTGGAGTTTGGCGATGGCTTCACAATGTTCTCTTGCTTTTTGAAACAATAGTTTGTTAGTTCACGACGTTGTTCAGGCTTCATCGAGTTATTAGTGGACCGGAGTGCGGGCATTACTCGAGCCACCATCATTTCTGATGCATCCGTGGTCCCTGTACGGTTTCCTAGAGGTTTAATATCGAATGGGTTGGTTTTCTGCAATATTTCAATCAGAAACTTTTCGAGACCAACGATGAAAATATGCAAAAATCGTTGTTCGTTCAACCCGATTCCATCCAATTCCAAAGTTAGGGCCAGCTCCTGAATGAAATAGTTTATCCAATCCGGCGAAATCCGCAAAGCACAGGGCCTGGATCCCATCGTCGATTCCATCCAGGAACAATCGTATAGTTTCCATTTAGTTTCTCCCCTGCTGGTGGATGCAAAGCCAGTTGATTTAGATCGTGTCCTTCCTTGTAGTCGAAAGATGAATTATTTTTCTGGCAAATAATGAGGGTCTGAGGTAGTTTCTATCGTTTCGTAGACAAATCCAAAGTGAGGAGACGCCGGTTCAGGGTAAGAGATGGTTTCAAGGGGACCCCAACACGTTCTGTGTTGAATTTTCTGAATTATCGTTCAGGGGAACGCGAGCACTAAAAATACCTAAAATATTTACAAAGTGGTTAAACGCGGATAGGGGAATACGCGATCCTAAAACGTGTACCTGGCCCCGAGAATTTCGGAAATGCTAGGTACACAGGGGTAAATGTGTTTCTCTCAGATGTGTATCTATGTTCTAAGTGGATTGCTTCAAATGGCTATGGCAGCGGCATTTTTGCAATCGATTTGGGCACCGCTCGCGGCATAAGGCAAACTGAAGGTATCGAGCCATTCTTTGCACTTCTCAATGCTATCGAAGGCCAAGATATTGCTAACATATTCGACGCTAATGCTGGGACGGTAGCTGGAAGAGAAATGGGAGGCATTAGTAGCTGGTCACTGGAAAAGCGGCATCACCTACGATTTAATGATGACTCGCAGAGCAGCCTTGCGCTCCCTTTCCAAAAACCATTCAATCATGTGGCCCGACATGAGGGGCGCCGTCTTGTACAGAGCAAACAACTTGCAATAGTTTCCCAACGACCAGGCCGAGCGGAACTGCAAGGCATGCGCAATGGCAGGATTCTCGCGTTGATCAGCTGATATCGAGCGCAGGACTGTGGTAATGTCTGCGGAGAAAGAATATAGAATATAGTTACACTAAATCCGTGCTTGAGATCGACGGCGATCGGCGGACGTACCCAAGGTATTCTTTGTGAAGATGTAGTACAGTATGCGATAGGCCGTAAACTCCATGGAGTTATGGCTCTGGCCACCCAGCTCGGAGTAGAGCATCTTCAGTTGCGTCTGGCACTGATTGAACTCCTCGTGGTCGCCCTTCTCCATGGCAATACGTGCATGGGTCTCGTACACCTCAACGGTGAACTGATCGCGAATACCTTGCACCTGTCGGCAAACAAGAGAACAAGAAGTTGTAAAATATTGACTGGAAAACGGCACCTGCAGCACTTACAGTTAGATCCTGCCTCAAGGACTTCAACTGATCACACGCGTAATGATAATCCTGGTTGGCACGCCACTTGCTCTTCACGTTGGACAGCGAATGGGTGAGGACCTCGACGGGCCGCACTTCCGACGGGGATGGAGCCTTTGTCAGGCGCAAAAAGGATTTCTCTAAGTCCCTACAAGTTCCTACAATGTGCAAATCGAGCAAATCTAAGCCGCTAGCCTGGTCCACATCCTCGTAGAAGGCAGAACGAAGATGCTGCTGCTGCTGTTGCTGCATCAGTTTCTTCCGGTTTTTGGCCGTGGTGAGACCAAAAGGCGAACTTGCAATGGCGACGACAAATTTCTTAGCCGAGCCGGAGCCCTGCTGCGAGAAACGTGCCGCCCGCTGTTGCAAGCGCGCTGTGTCATCATCAACGGCCCCACCCACAGACGATTGTTTCGAATAGAAGTGCGGCTTTTTCTTGGAGTGGCCAGGGTGCGCCGCGGCGGATCCCGCTGCCGCTGCTGCAGCGAGTCTTTTGCCTTTCTTCATTAGCATTTTCTGCTTCTTGCGCGAGAGGTTTGCGCTTAGGGATATGAAATCCAGAGACTCGCTGGAACCCGATTTACGATGAACTTTACGCGCCCGCGGACTGACAGCATCGCTGCTGCGGGAACCCGAATGCGAACGCGAACGCGAACGTGAATGAGATCGCGAGTAACGTTTCTTGTGAGTGTACTTCGATGAGGTCGAAGACGACGGGGACCTGCAAGTGGATGCAATTGAGGGACATTAGGGACTTTGACCAGCACGCAACGGAAACAATCAGACTTACCGCGAACGACTCCTGGAATACCGCGACGACGACTGCTGATGGCCGTAACTGGATGGCATTTTATTGAATTGATTCGCCCTCTGCTTGAATTGATTAACATTCGGTGCCTTGACCGGCTTCTCTTGCTCCTGCTCCCGATCCCGCTCCCGGTCTCTCTCCCGCTCCTGCTCCAACTCACGTTTCTTGTTGAAGTAGTTGCTCCTTTCTGGCTGTGGAGGCGTGGCGTGGCTAAGCACAACCTCGATGCCGTCTCGCTCGCTGTGCACCGTCGGCATAGGCTCGTTGTCCCAGTCTCTGGTCCACAGCTCATTTCGATTAGCCGCTGCCATGATCTTGCCCTTCAGACATATGTCTATCTGGTCCTTGTCCAGGTCCGTGTTGCACTTGGAGTAGCACCGAGCAACGTACTGATTCAACGAGTCTGGCCAGGAGTCATTGGAGGTCATCTGGAAGTTGTTGGGACGCTTAAACGCTGCAGAAGCAGCTGGAGAACCCTTCGGCTCCGGTTTGGTAGTCTCAGCATTGGCGGCCAGAGCCAGGGGCAGGGGCGGGGGTGGCTTGCTCAGGTCTGGTGTGCTGGGCACCACCACATCGCTGATAATGGGCGGCGGTGGGGCTATGGGCGTGGCTATAGTGTTAAACGGATTATTGTATGCGCTTTGATCGAAGCTCGCGTTTTTGTTCTTCCGCTTCCGCTTCTTCTTGTTTGTAACGTTATTTATATTGCTATTATTGTTGAACAATTGGGTCGGCTGCTGTGCCTGTGCCTGATGCTGCTGGATCTGTTGTTGTTGTTGTTGTTGTTGTTGTTGCTGCTGCTGCTGTTGTTGTTGCTGCTGCAGCTGTTGCTGCTGTTGTAGCGGATTGGGTGCGTTCGCCAAGCGTTTCTGATTTAAATTCAAGTTAAAACGTATCCCTCCGAAATTCTTCTGCTGCTGTTGTTGCTGCTGCTGCTGCTGCTGCTGCAACTTGTTGGTGTTGATCGGTTGAGTGGACTTGGGTGGTGGTGGAGGGGGTCCTAGGGGCGGAGGTGGTGGCGCTGCCAAGGCGTTGCTAAATCCGGGCGGCGCGTTCGACGAACTTATCGTTGAGGTTACCTGTTGCTGCTGCTGCTGGTACCGCATATAGTACTGATAGTACTGCTGGTACTGCTGCTGGTAGGCGGCTGCATTTTGGTTGGCGTACCACGCGTAGTTGGTCCACTGCTGGGCAACGGAGTTGGCCTGCTGCTGGTGCTGCTGTTGCTGCTGTTGCTGCTGCTGCTGCTGCATTTCCTGCAGCTGGGGTATCAAGGGCGGAGGAGCGCTCATGGCTTCCGACATAGTGCTCCCAGGGCAGAAACTTGGTTTGGTCTCTTGTCACCGCTGTGACGTGACGTATGCTGATTTGAATGCTTTTACCTTAACTTACCTTGTGAATTCAATTGCGTGCTTCTGCGTCTTCTTCCTCGCCTCCCACCCTAATTTCTATATATCACAACAATGAGTACAAAGGGAAATGTGCTCGTTAGGTTAGCGCCCGTGTCTTTGCCTATGTACATATGTATATGTGTGTGGAGGCATGTGACGCCATTTTCTTTTCCATTTTTTTCAACAGCTTACCTAGGTCTTGGAGAATGTTCGATTCTCGCCTGGGATTACGCGAATTGTAGACGCGACTCTAATAATAATAATAATAAGTATGGTTGCTCGCTTGCACTGAACTTTTATTCGTTTTCAAAGAAAGAATCTAATTTTTGTAGGAACACGAAATAGTTGTTGTTCTACACTTTTTTTTCGTTGACACTTTCGTTCAGTTTCTAAAATTATACCCAGTTTATTACAAGCCAACTACACGGTATCTACACACTTGCTACATAATGTCAGGAGAAAGAGGGTATGGACAACAGGCAAAACGGCCCAGAAAATGCAAGGCATACAGGTAAAATCCACCCTGTTTGCTTAATATACCTTGAAAACGAAACTGGCCTTTTGCCGAGGTGAGGTTCGTACGAACCCAGCAATTTGCCTTGGCTGTTCTTTCCTCTCGTCCATACCCTTATTTATAGCCCATTCAAAACAACGACTCATATTTTCGTTGCAGAAGAGAGCAGCAGTGTGACCGTCTAACCCTCAGATATATTTCGTAAATATACGAATGAGAAAACGAAGCCCATTTTATTTAAACAGGATAAAACTTGAGTTAGATTACGAAAAGAATACTAATAATATGGTTGATTCAATACCCGATTCAAAAAGAGCCAATAGCTGTTTCAAAGACAGCAGTCGGAGAGCGATACTATCGACTGAATACGAGTGGTGCGCGCGAAAGCGAAAATGTTTAAATGTGAATAATTGAGAACGATATAAATAGACGCAATCCATTGCAAGAAATTATGCTGGGAAGCACGGTTTGAGAGAGCCAAAATTGTACGCCATGTTTTTTAATATACCATTAAAAATTATATGGTTGCAGCTAGTATTTGGACGACTAGAAAATAACATCCTAACAGCAGTTCTAATTCTAAGCAGTCTAATTATTTTTGTAATTTATATATATGCACACATGTTTATGCCGTAAAATTGACTATTGCATTCTTGATATCTTAAACATTATAACTTCTACACTTAACAGTTGAAAATCCATGAAGCACCGATCTTATGTTCACCACTAATCGGGGCTTTGCCATCGCAGCCCACATGATACGTCACATCAACGTTTTCGCCAATTTTCGTCTGGAAGACCACTCCCGCGTTTCCATCGTCTCGAACCTTGGCCTTCAGCAGCGATCCGTCCTCCAGCTGGTACTGACATCCAATGGCAAACTTCTTTAGCTGCTCCTCGCCATAAAAGTTCATTTTCAGAGCCACGGCCCAGCTCTCGCCAATGCGCTGAAAGAGAGAGCCCCGCAGATCCTTGAAGTTCTCCCTGTGAGTGTGGGAGGAAAAACACCAGTCAGCAGAAAATTACGTCGAGACCTTTCCAAAAATAGAACTTACGCCTTGAGGCCCATTTCGGTGGACCCGTTGTTGTATCCCAAGCAGAAGGCGTGCTTGTCGAATGCTTTCTCGGCGACGCTGTATACCGTGCGGTAGCCCAGAAGCCAGTTCTCAGCAGGAGCCGCAAGGACGTATCCCATTAGCGTGGGCTCCTTCACAATTGGCACCACTATCTCGATATTGAAAGGACTGCGCATAAAGCCAGCTTTTAGCAAGCTTGAACCTATACTTAACTGGTGTCTGAAGGAAAATCAATGTAAAAGCGTCGACACGGACAGCCAATTTTGCATTGCAGACTCACTCATCCGTCATGGAAAGTGCTGACCTCAGAATGGAGTGGGCTATGCCGCCAGCCACCAAACCTCGAACTCCGAGCTCCCCTCTAAACTCGTTGCTGCTGGTTACCCAGGTGAGGGACGTGTGAGAGTTTTCGAACTCTTTGAAAACCTCGAGCCCTCCAAACACGGAAGTCAAGAGGGGATTGCCCTCTCCGAAGCTGCTCAAGACGACGCCGTTATCCATCTTAGAGGAGCACCGCAAGTGCCAGACGCCAAACTTGTAGCCCCTGATGAGACACTCCTTGGCCGCACCACCCACGTGGAAATATGTGGGCATCTCGCCCTCGGGCACCGGCACCGGCAGTATCTCTACGTCATCCTTCACTTTTGGCTTATCTTGGGCTTTTGAGCTGTTATCCTGAGAGCTCGGTTCGGTTTTGGCCTCGGGTACTGGCTCGTCTTCTTCGTCGTTTTCTATTTCGGACTCTCTATTGCGCCGGAATATGCTACTGAGCCTTTTTTTACTCATTTTGTCTAACGCTAAAAACGAACAAATTAATTAAACTAAAATTTTGTGAATTTAAGATTGGCAATTGAAATGCTTTCGGGAAAACCTGAAATTCAGTTCAAAACTACTCCGTTTGATGTATCGGAATGTAAAATGCTCGCAATCTGCTAAATATTATATTTTGATCCACTGTATAACCCTTATCCCAGTTCAACCACTTCAACCACTTCTAGCACTCCAGGGCCAAGCCCACGCCAAACTTGTGGTTGCCATCGCTGATATTCCGCCCGTCTAGGACCGCCGAGATGGAGGCAGTGATGCCCTCACGCACCTTCTGTTCATAGCCCAGGCCCAGCTCCGCCTTGCTGTTGATCTTGGCCCGGATGAGGGCATCGCCCTCAAGACGATATATCATGCCCACCCCGACGGTCACGTCGCTGCCGCCGGCCTGCTCTGCTTCACCCTCTGCAGGCTCCGGTCCGCCACCGCCGCCGCCTGTTTTGGTCAGCTCTACAGCGGCATCGATCTGGTCATTGAGCTTGTAGAAGAGCGATGCCAACCAGGAGTCGCCATCCTTTCTGCAAAGAGCAAGGTCGGAGATTCATGTATCAACTGTCGAGTGCTGGACAGAACAGTGATCCAACTTACAGCTCGCCATGGAGTGTGGCCTTATCATTGGACCAGCCCAGGGCAACTTTCCAGCTGCTGAGTGATGTGTCTCCCAAATCAAACGTGCAGCCAAGCCCGCCTAAGAACTCCTTGTGGCCCAAGACCAGGGAGCAGTTCATGATGGGGCTCGAGCTGATGCCCATGTCAGTGAGGAAGTTGAAATGGTCCTCGACATAGCCCAGCTTGAACTTGCCGTCCTTGGAGCTGTAGGGGAATGAATTAGAGAGCGGAATAGCCAATGTCCGAAAGCCATACGTACTCAGAACTTGGCTGGAACTTGCCCTCCAGGCCCAACATCAGGCCCTGGGCCAGCTTATCCTTCTGCACGATCTCGCCAAAGAACCAACTATCTGTATTCCAACGTTCCGTCAGCGTCAGACCAGAGTCCTCGATCTTGTACTTGCTCTGCAGGGAGCCGGCCACCTTGCTGTGATCCTGGCTGGCGAATCCTGTGGTGAAAAACTCAATGCCCGGGCTGCTCATGCTCTTGCAGTCCAGCTGCCAGACACCAGGATGGTAGCCGCGCCTGAACAGATCCCGTGCCAGCTTTCCCAAGTCAGGATACGGTGGCGGTGCCATTTTAGACGCACTGAGTTGCAATGGATGAGGTTTAACGGAGTGAAAGCGTTTTCGAATTTTTACCGAACTATTCTATTAATTATTGAAAAATTTGTGATGTGCCAGATTAGGATGATTGTATGATTACGAGCTGCTATTCAAGGCTCTCTATGATAGAGCAAAGAGCCCACGACAACAGGTAGCCATGTGAATACTTTACAGACATAGGCGTAGTACTTGTGCGGTCTAGTGGTCCATATGCTTTAGGGGTCCTACTTCCTCTTTCTTATAGTACATTCGACCTGGTTGCAGAGGTACTTATCCCTTGCCATCCATCACGTTCACACACCTCGAATCCGTATAGTTTTCTTACTTTTCGCTTTATTTCTTTTCAGGTAAATGCACAACAAAATGTAGATTGTTTAAGAATTGTGTAGGGTGTGTCCTGGTTCCCCCTCTGAGGGATAGGAGCAGGGATCTGGCAGTGGCAGCCCTCTCCACTGCAAATAAGTCAAGCTCCGAGCAACAGTGTTCGTTTTAACTTTAGTTTTGTTTAATAGGTAAATGTATTTTTCTCTGTTCTTTGCCAACAACACATAAGCTAGTTTTCATGGTACATACTAAACAAAACTACATCCAGCGACGGTTGACTGACCGACTGACCGTCCGACCGTCCCGACCCTTGCTCGCTTTGTTGGTTGGCAGTGTCTCTTCTGCAGATTCTGGTGGAGCACGGATTGTTGGAAATGGAGGCGGGAGGCGGTGGCGGTGGCGCAGGTGGAGGCGGAGGAGTTCTGGCAACTGATCTAAACCGTTTGCTAAATGTGAAGATTCTTGTATCTTTTGTGGTGTTTTCGTAAAATATCTTTTACAGTTTTATTTGCTTATTTGTTGTTCTGCTTTGCTTGGTGTTGTTTCTGCACTTTTACTTTTACTTTTCTTTCTGTTACTGTTGTTGTTGTTGGGAGTGTGGGGATGTTAGATAACTATATTCCTCGATTGGGAAAATCGTCGACCTAAGCCTCCAGCTCCAGACCAACTCCGATCTTGTGGCCGCCGTCGTTGAAGTTCTTGCCATCGACCAACGTGGACAGGGTCAAGGTGATGCCATCACGCAACTTCTGCTGATAGCCCAAGCCCACCTGGCTGGCATTGTTCACCTTGGCGCGTACGCTGGCATCGTCGCCCAATTGGTATTTGGCGCCGATGGCGAACTTGGTGTTGCTGTTGCCGCTGGCCCACGACAGCTGCACACCCACATCCAGCTTGTCCGAAGTGCGTTGGAAGATGGAGCCGCTGAACTCCTGGCCATCGTTCCTGGAATCAGAAGCAAAGTAGAGTAGGTCGATTATACATCCAGTCGTGCGGCAGTGGGTGCTACTGTTTACTTACACAGATGTGTGCAAGACAAAGTCCTTGGTGGTGTAGCCAAGGGCAAAGTTGTTGGTGGTCAACTTGGTCTGTTGCGTATCAAATGCGGCCTGGTAGCCGGCCAACCATCCGTTGTAGCCCAGCACGGCAGAGGCGTTGATCAAGGGACCCTTCAGATCAATGTTGACGTCCGAATCGGCTTTCACGTATTCGTGGCCGAAGCCAACCTTGAACTTGCCGTTCTTGTTTCTGTTCGGAAAGAAAGTGTCAATAATCCGGGTCTGGGGGTCATCTAGAACACGTGCGTCGCATACCCAGACTGGGGAGCAAAGTTTCCCTCCAGCGAGAGCTTCAGACCCTCGAGCAGCTGGTCCTGGACAGCCACCTCGGTGAACAGGGTGTTGTCTGTGTTCCACTTCTCCGTGAGAGTGAGGCCATAGTCCTTCACCTTGTACTTGGTCTCCAGGGAGCCGAAGACCTTGCCCGACTCCTGGTTGGAGTGGCCAGCTGTGTTGAATTCAATGCCCGAGGGCGTCTTGGTCTTCAGGTCCAATTTCCACAGACCAAAGTTGTAGCCTTTGCTGAAGATGTCGCGAGCCTGCTTGCCCAAATCGCTGTATGATGGAGGAGCCATCTGAAGTGATTTCAAAGAGAACTCGAATTAGCTTGTGAAAGATCGATAAAAGGGCCTGGGCCATTTATTGCAAATTATTTCACTTTCCCGCACAATTATTGCTCGGAAAGCTAGATAAGCTGCCGTGTTCATGGAAACGGGACGGAGCGGGCCATTCTAATCTTATCAGCTACATGATGAAAATTACTTTTTGTGGAATTAAATCCTTCTATATGTATAGCCGGCTGCGATTGGAAAGTGAAAAGCTGAATTCGGAATGCCCAGAGGCAGCGCATAGACAAGTGAAAAGATATCAAGACATTTCCCCGTTGTACTTGGCTAAATGTCAATTTAGTGCAGCGAAAATAAACAAAAAGTTTGATTTCAATTTAGATTCGTTTTCAAGGCAGCATTCTACCATGGCATGGCTGCCAGAGATCAGTCGAAGAAAAGCCTCAGCGGCATGTGCTGATGTATGAGTGGAGAGGTCAACGCACGTCTGCTGTAGAGTGCCGCAAAAATGTAAGAGAGAGCCAGCGAGACTTGGGTCGCGTCTGATCGCTGTGACGCACACAGTAACAAAGCTAAGCGAAGTGATTTGTGGAAATTTCACCACACAAAAACTGGTCTAGTTATGAGGCATCGAGAAGCTTCATTCGTTTCTTCCAGCTAACAGAAATTGTATCATGAAAGCGACGGTTAAATACCCAATGGATATCCAATGGCGAGAGGAGAGATGTAGTAACTGGAACTACAGTTAGACTCCCATATGCGGTCTGCTCTACCCCATGCCCCTGCCTTTTTGGCACCGATTGCTGGTCAGCCGGCAGAGCAGCGCTGCAGCAGCCGAGCGATCATTGACACAGAAGCTAACTGCACAATTGCAGTCTCTGCTTTGGTCTCTCCTTCGTTTCTATTTCCGTGTGACGTCAAGAATGCGAAACAAGCAAACAGTTCACAGTCATGGTGCGAATATTGGGCACGGCTTTCGGAGAGCGGACCGGACCTGCTACTGGGACCTGCGAGCAATCGAGAACGTGAATTATGAAAAGCACAGCGACGGCGAGTTTTTATGGCCAAGAGCCAAACGGGAAATGACCAGCAACGAAAGAGCAGACGCGCCCTCCCGAAAATGGGACAGATATGGAAATGCTAACTGATCTATTCAGGTGCCGTGTGATGTAACAATGGAAACAAAAATCACATAGAAAAGAGGTCCCGGGACAGCAGCATCTCAAATGTGACCTTGATTCAGGGGCTAGACCTTCGAATAACTTATACATGGGGGGGTAAGGGGAGAGAGGGCTCTTACATCTCTTCATTGCATAACCAGAAAAGAATTAATTTTCTTACAATCACACAGAATTTCGCTCGAAAAGGTGTCACGGAAAACTATTGATTTTTAGTGACGTCACTTTTAGAACAGAACCTGGACTAAAACTGCCGCATCACACGCCCCCTCCACCTCACATGACAGCCTGCCCACACACACAAGCAAATGGAAAAAACGATAAGGAAAAGCAAGAATATGTATGTTGATAAAAACGAGCGAAGAGCGATGTGACATTGCGATAACGAACAAAATTGATCAAAACAATTTAAACGAGAGCACTCATTCATTGGTGGCGAACATGTTACGTAACTACATTTTCCCAGCACTCTTTGCCGGCTGCTGCCAATGAACTCTTCGTGCGTATGAGCCCGTTTGCGAGTGTGTGGGCCGGCGTCAATTTAGTTTGGCCCATGAGTTTTTATCAGCTAGCTATACTTCGATGCATTTTTCATTAGCTGATAAATACTTTTTTCACCCATCGAGCTAGCCATTCAAATACAACTACAACCCTTTGCGGCTAATGCGCGTGTGTACTTGCAAATTTTTTTCCTTTCGAGGTTATGAAATCACTTTCACTGGCGATCTGCACTCGGCTGTTTGTGGAGTTTTCCTACTGGTTGGCATTGTACTTTAAAGCGTCTTAAGCTAGTTGTACTTACTTTGGATAAGTTTTAGTTTAGTTGGTAATTCAAGAGGAACAGAAACACGACGAGACTTTTAAACGACGACCACAAAAATTAGTTCTGCGAACAGTGTGACCAGCGGATTTATTAATAGACCAGTGTGACCGCGGATTTATCGTTCAAATATACCGTCCGACTCTCAGAAATATACCAAAATATAACGTAAATATACTGTCGCATTCTGGTGCTATTATACATATTCCTCGTTTTTGATCTTCTGTCGAATATTACTACCCAGCTAAGGCCTGAGGATCTGAGCTCATAATATTATACGATTATTAAATCAATTTCCTACAAGACTGGTTAAATTAAGGTTTTCATATATATTGCATTGCTTATAAAATAAGGTTTAAGCAAAAATGGTCCACAACAATTTCCACTAAATTCATGTCACGACATGGTGATGACTTTAACATGACTTTAACTAAACGTTGGCTACAATGCGAAAGCGAGAAAATGTGTACGTTTAAACCATTTTTTCATATGTATAAGCCCTATGGAAGCGTCGGTGTGAAAAACCTACGTTATCCACTTTTTAACATGCCTTGAATGCATCCGAGCCATTGGGCATGATTGTTGTTGTTTTTTGTTTATTTTGTACCATTTTTCGCATAGAAACATGCGGCTTAGGAACATCCAAAATGGATGGTGGACTAACTGGGAAATTTTCAGAACGGCAAAACCTTACGGACCATCCCCGAAATGGATGGTGGATGGTCGTCAGTGTGAATAGCCTATTTAGTCTGGTGGCACACCTTAAGACCTGATGAATTCTCTCCCTGCGCAATCAAATTAATTATTTAAGAGCCCGAACAATGTCGGCCAGCTCGAACGACCCCACGTGCGATTACGGTATTATTATTTTTGTAGGTGAATCCCATTTTATACATACGGGTATTGTTGAAAGCTAAATAAACGAGGGGGAACGTTGTGAGTTGCTGCGGACACCGCAACTCTACGGTTATACCCGATACTAAGTCAGTATGGCTCTCCTCCGGCAGACGCCGCTAATATTAAGCGACACGACAAACAGTGTGTGCGAGAGAGACAGAAAATCAGTTTGAGCGTGACGTCGGGCGCTGCGTAGCCACTGCAAATTGATTTGTTCCTTTTGGCTATAAAAATGATCTGATCTGATCCAGATTCAGCAATCTAATAGATATGGTCATTATCTATGATTCTGATTAGTTCTCTCAAATCTGCAATATTGTGGATGCAACAGATTTTCGTCCTTTGTGGGGGCGAAATTCTGAGATATACGTTTTATAGTGAGATCTAACAGAAGTGCGGATACCAAATTTGTTTACTCTAGCCTTAATAGTCTCTGAGATTTGTGGTTGCCTCAGATTTTCGTTCTTTGCGGGGGCGGAAGGGGGTGTGGCGAAATTTGGACAGGAAACGGTCAAGGTCCGATATCACAGGAGTGTGGATACCAAATTTGGTTGCTCTGGCTTTTATAGGTTCTGAGATCCTTGAACTCATATTTTGCAATTGGCAAAACCGACCATGAAACCTGTGTGTTAGAGTGAGACAGAGCGAGAAAGAGTGAAATTGTTTTCGTGATTCTGGCTGTAATAATTATACGATCTGGTTCAGATTTTGCACTCTAGAAGATATAGTCATCTTCTACGATTCTGCGTTTTTAGTTTTCTCGTATCGTCGAAATTGTGGATGCCACAGATTTTCGCCCTTTGTGGGGGCGGAAGTGGGCGGGGCAAAGTTTTGAAATATTTTTGGAGCAGTGACATATCACAGAAGTCTGGATCCAAAACATCGTTGCTCTAGCTCTTATAGTCTTTGAGCACTAGGCGCTGAAGGGGACGGACAGACGGACGGACGGACAGACGGACGGACGGACAGACAGACATGGCTCAATCGACTCGGCTATTGATGCTGATCAAGAATATATATACTTTATAGGGTCGGAAACGATTCCTTCTGGACGTTACACACATCCACTTTTACCACAAATCTAATATACCCCAATACTCATTTTGAGTATCGGGTATAAAAAAAAACTTTTAGGCCAAAAAGTTTGATCTACTAGCAATTGAATGAGAGAAGAATTGGAAAAGATAACTGTTTGTACGAATAAGGAGAATCAAATTAAGTGACGTTTATCAGTTGTCAAAATTATTTACACACATTTTTAATGCTGCAGAAGTATTTACACAAAACTTTAAGTTAATTTTTTATTATGATTTAATGATTTTTTTTTAAATTTGTTGGATGAATAATAATAATAATGATTAATATTTTGTAATTCCACCTTTGACATCAATAACTGCTTGCAACCGGGCTGGTACTGATTCCACTAAGTGGCGAGCATATCCAAGTTCCAATTTCGACCAAATTTCCTTTACTTCCTCGATGGTAGCGTCGCGTTTTCGGTTTTTATCAATTGTTCTTTGTCCTTTAATAAGCGACCAAACATTTTCTATGATATTGAGATCAGGGCTCTGCGCAGGCCAGGGAAGAACAGCCACATTGAGATCTCGTAAAAATTTTGTACGTGCCGATCCCTTGTGGCATGGAGCATTGACTTGCTGTAAAATCCAGTCGGAGATGGGAAATAGCCTGTCACCAGACACAAAAGCATGTTCATTCAGTATATCGAGATACCGGGTCTGATTCAGAGTGCCTTCTATTGGAACAAAGTCTCCAAATCCGTAGTAAGACATGCACCACCAGAACATCACTGTGCCTCCACCAAATCTGTTTAATGGTTGCACTGCACTTTGTTTTTTTGCTTGTCGTAGATGCATAAATCTTTTACAGAATGAGCCTTGGAACTGGAAAGCTACTTCATCTGTCCATAAAACATTTTACCAAAACTCCTTTGGTTTGTTAACGTATTCCAATGCGAATGAGAGGTGTTTTGCTTTATATGCCTTTATTTTTCGCACTGTATACGTTCGTATGTCGATCTCCTTCAATCCCCGCCGTATTGTAGCATCACAGGCTTTTTTGCCCATCAATTGTTGCGAATCTGCAGACAATTTAACTGGGCTTATCGACGGATTTTTATCGACTATGCCAATTAAACGTCTCCATTCCCGTTCATCCATCGCTTGTTTCCTTCCACTTCTTTTTAAATTCTGTAAATTTCCATTCGTGTCCTTTTTCTTTTCCAGATTATAAACGGTTTTTCTACAAATTTTGTAAGTTTTGGCCAGTTCCGACGTTGAAATCCCGCTTTTAAATTTTGTAACGATCTCGGATCGAGTTTCAACGGACAACTCCTTTGTCTTCACCATTTTACAAGTCAAACCAAGTCTAAGAATAAGCTCTAATTTGCATTGTGTAAATACTTCTGAAATAATGCAAATTTGTGTAAATACTTTTGACAACAGGTCACATGCTTCTATTTTTAGTCCATTAACAGTTATTTTTCCAATTCTTCTTTCAACCAATTCCTAGTAGATCAAGATTTTTGCCCGTAAATTTTTTTTTTTGTATTTTGATTTCAACAACTCCTAAACTTGAACATGCAAAAAAAAACTCGTTGTGTAAATACTTCTGACCACCCCTGTATGTATTAGCATAGCCACTTGTTTTGACGTTCTGGGATTGGATTAAAAAATGTACATAGTTAAATTAGAAAGCTAGCATTGGTGGATTTGCTAGAATAATATTCAAACATTTCCACAATATCATCGACAATTTTTTGGATCTATGGAAAATGGACATGAAATGGACAGAACAAGCACTAGTTCCGCTACCATTAATTCAGCAAATTTTTAGTTACATATAAAGCTAAAACAAGCTAAATATATTTTTAACATATGCTAAACAGCAGATATAAGCTATTTAATAGTGCACTCGCGCCGACTAAATGGACCACACTTTCCTGGTGACGAATCCACCTGTCTTCCGTAGACAATAGACAGGAATGCGACGAAGGCCAACAGTACCAGCTTCATGTTTTGGCGGTTGATGAATGATAAATTCTTACGACTTTTATACCTTTGAAGATGGTCAAATATAATTTCTTTCTTCACGCATCATTGGCTATGTGTGATATTTTAATTCCTACCAGGAAGAATAATGAACTTTGGTATTACAAAACAGCACTGACGTACAAAATTAAAATTATTTATTGGTTTATTAAAGATAATTATTTTGTCGATACTTAAATTAAATTGTCGATTTTAAGATTTTTTTATGTCCAATTCCAATTATTTTAATAGATATATTTTAAATCTTGCGCCAATAAAAGTCTAGTCGATAACGATAACCTAAGTTACCAATATTAGTTAATTACAACTATCGATACCCTCAAGACATGATGAAATTCTCTCCTCGCGCATCACTAATATTTCCCGAGCCCAATTTCTTGTTTACATATTTTCGCAATTAATTTATTAGAATATTCAAGCGCCTAAACAATGTCGGACAACGAGTACGAGCGCTTTGAGATCACCGACTACGATTTGGACAATGAGTTCAACACAAACAGACCACGGGGGCGCCACAGCAAACATCAACAGATTTATGGTAAAGATATTCTTTCTTTTGGTTTCAAAAAATCCTCAAGAAAAAACCTCTTTCTAGGCATTTGGGCGGACGACAGTGACGAGGAGGGCCCCGGTGATGGTGGCGGCCAGAAGCGTCATGGCCACCAGGCGAAGGACTACACAATGCCCGTGAATTTTGTGGCAGGCGGCATCCAACAAGCGGGCAAAAAGAAGAAAAAGCCACTAAAGGGTGAGGAAAAGGCCGGAAAAGAAGACGCAGGCGACACAGAAGAAGCCGAAAAGAGCGATGATTCTAGAGACAGTGGGCGTCCAGCCTTTGGGCAGAGCGATCCAAGTTCCAATAGCTCCGAGGAGGAGGAGAGACCTTCAATGAGGAGCACCCAAGCGAAACCCTCGTTCAAGCATCACTCGCACATCGCTGGCACCCGGAATGTGGGCGCCTGGGAGCAGCACACTCGGGGTATTGGTGCCAAACTCCTTCTGCAGATGGGATACGAGCCCGGCAAGGGTCTGGGCAAGGATCTCCAAGGCATTTCGCAGCCGGTTCAAGCGCACGTCCGCAAGGGACGCGGTGCCATTGGAGCTTATGGTCCTGAGACAGCCGCAAGCATCGGAGGCAAAGCGCAGGCCATCAAAGTGGACGAGGATGTGCGCGAGGCTAAGGAGTTCAAGGAGCAGATGAACAAGTGGCGCAAGGGAGGCGTGGCAGAGCCCCAGGAGAAGGCCGGCAAGCGGTACTACTACAAATCTGTGGAGGAGGTGATAGCCAAGGGGAAGAAGTCCACGCACCTGCTCTCCGAGAAGCTAAGCAAGCAATTGGGTAACGTCCCCGTTATTGACATGACGGGCCCAGAGAAACGTGTGCTTAGTGGCTACCATGCCCTTGGGCAAACGAAAATCACCCCCGAGGAAACCCTCTACGATGCGGAGGCTGGTGGCGCCCCTGTTACGGTGTTCGCAATGCCCGAACTGACTCACAATCTCCAGCTGCTGGTGAGCCAGTGCGAGCAGCAGATCATTGCCATAGACAAGTCGGAGCGCGAGTCCGAGAGCCAGCAAGCGGCCCTCCAGAGCGAGTACAAGAAGCTCGAGGAAATCGTCCAACTGGAGCAGAATCACATCAGCACGCTCGAAGAGGTGCTCGATCGTGTGGAGCGGCTGAGTGAGGATCCCGACATCACACTCCATGCAGCGGAGAAGCTATTCCTGCAGCTTCTGGAGGACTATGCCGCCGAGTTCAAGGAATTCGGTCTGGCGGATCTGGCTGCAGGCGTCATTGCGCCGCTTGTGAAGCGAGAGCTGGTGGCCTGGCAGCCTCTGGAGGAGCCCACGCAGCCGCTGCAGCTGATCAAAAAGTGGCGAGGAATGCTGCAACGCGAGGAGCCCGCTGGCCAGCAGCCCCGCAATGTGTTTGATCCGTATTCCTCGCTCATTTGGGCGGGTGTGATGCCCTCGTTCCGCGCCTGTGCCGCCGTCTGGCAGCCCAAGGAGCACCCGCCAATGGCTGCCTTGCTGGATGCCTGGGCACCGCTTCTGCCCACGTGGGTGCTGGATTCGGTTCTCGAGCAACTGGTGCTGCCGCGGCTTGCCTCCGGCGTCTACGATTGGGATCCCCTCACCGACACGGTGCCCATCCACAGCTGGGTTCTTCCGTGGCACGGGATCCTTGGCAGCAAACTGGAGGAGTCTGTGTACCCACAGATTCGCAGCAAATTGGGCGTGGCCCTGCAGGCCTGGTCGCCGCAAGATCGCTCCGCGAGGGCCATGCTCACCCCATGGGCGAAGGCCTTTCCGGAGGAGGAAATGGTGGACTTTCTGCAGCACCACATCACACCCAAGCTGCAGGGAGTGCTCTCGGAGTTCATCATCAATCCGCTGCATCAGGACCTAGAGCCATGGAACCAGGTGTGGGAGTGGCACGAGCTCATTCCGCCGATGCACATGGCCAAGCTGCTGGACAAGCACTTCTTCCCGCGATGGATGCAGGTGCTCGTCATGTGGCTGAACCAGTCGCCCGACTATGCGGAAATCTCACGCTGGTATACGGGATGGAAGAGCATGCTGAATGAGCCACTGCTCCGAGAGCCCAGTGTCAAGGAGCATCTACGCCGTGCCCTCGAGATGATGCACAGAGCGAGCGATGCTCTGCTGCAGCCCACGGCAGCGCCGCCACCTCCTACACCGCCCGCACCGCCCACTGTTGCGGGTCTCCTGCCGCCACTCATGATGATGGATGTGGCACCGCCCACGCAGCTGGAGTTCAAGGAGTTGGTCTCTCAGAAATGCGCTGAATTGGGGATTATCTTTGCTCCCATACCAGGCAGAAGGGAAATGGGAAAGCAGGTGAGTCTGAAGGCGATTGGAATCTCAACTATTTTCCTTGCTAATCTTCTGCTTTTTGTAGATCTATCGAGTGGGCAAACTCTTTTGCTACATCGATCGAAATGTGTGCATGCTGAGCGATAGCTCATTTAGCAATTGGCAGCCGGTGGCCCTCAATCATCTGCTGGAACGCACACAAACGGGAATGTTCTAGAGACGAGGGACAGGAGCCGTGGTTGGAAATAATACCAGAGATCGATGGGTGTTGAGGGAGAGAGACGAGGGGCAGGAGCCGTGGTTGGAAATAATACCAGAGATCGATGGGTGTTGGACGATGGAAGAAAGGATGATAGTGTTTTGAATTCAGGAATGATAATGGCAGATAGCAGCTTAAGAAAAAGTGGAAATATAGAGAATAAAATTCGAAGATAACATTGTTCCTGAAGGATGTTCCCCTGTATGATTTTTTGGCAGTGTTCTGTGGCCTGTTCTTTGAGCCAATAAAGCACACACCAAACAAAGAAAACTTTCTTAGATATGCCGATGATTGCAGATGCTCAAAGGATTGGATATTTTCTTAGTTGTACACTATTCTTAGTCCCCATTTAAGACTATGTTTAAGGAAAAACCCACAAAACAAAAGGGAAATTATAAATTTGCTTTAAAAATAATCAATTTTGAAGAAGCGGAACAATCTAAGCCACTTTCTATTCTTTGAGATTGATCATGGATGGTTAATACCATATCTTAGGTATCAGTCTATATTTATTGGGAGCTGCAGTGATAGCACCATCAGGTATGCATCACCAAAGGCAGTAGCCATAGGCCATACAAATAACCCCAAAAAAAAGGACAGCGAATCATTTGCAGTGTTCAGTTATTAATTCCTGACAAGCGATATGTTGTGAAAGTATTTTGGAATGTTATCTATTGATTACTCTTGATAAAAGTAAATTGAAACATATAAAATTATATGCCACACTGCCATATGGCACACATCTTCCGCCGATTAGATGGTTCTCTTACCGTACGATTAGAGCCGAACAAGTGTACGCTGATTATTGGTGCATATAGATTCGATCGGGTAGTTCTTTCACCTTCGTTTGGGTGTCGTTTCTTTCGATTTGAGTTTCAGTTTCATTCCATAGCTCCTCATCAAAGGGTGGTGGAGGCTCGTTTCTCGTTTTTCGGTCGGTGGTGGACCATATGGGCCTTGTCTTTCAACACAATCTAGTGATATACAGCGGTCATAGAATCGCTCATACGTTGAGTCATCAAACGATTGCTCTCTGGTAATTCCAAATATTTAAAATTCACTTATCGGTTTCGCTTTCGAGTGTTTGAAACAGAAGAGCCTACGTCTTGGGTTAATTTGTTCAATGATTTCTAAGAAAAAGCGATAAGATTAAAGTGGAAGTTGTCGCAAAGAATACAATTTATAGATCATTTAGTGATATTTATTTTTTTATGGCCCCGGCAAGCCTCGTTTTTGAATTGTGAATTGTGTCTTAAAGTACGATAAATATTTTCAGAAAAGAGATCCATAAAGAACAACAAATATGGAATAAATTAAAGGTTGTGGAAATCTATCAACAAGTGGCTTATTATAGACTTCATGGATACGCTTTTGAAGTAGTCATAAAAAATATCAAACGCACAAGTTGAATGCAGTGGAACTACGATTTTTGATTGCTTTATCAATACAGAAGTCACTTCAAGTCATTCCGTTAGGAAATGACTCTTCAAACCCATTCGATTATGGCTAATACTTAGATGGCTGGTTAACATTTACGACTTTTTCTTATTGCTATTTCATACGGGAACTTGAGATTGTAAAGATATGGTATGGAAGGAAATAGGAACAGGTATCAGAAGACTGGGACTGAGGTGCCTGCTAGGTATATGAGAAATACTAAGTTTCCTACAACTCGGAGAAATACTAATAAGTATATTCTGCTTGGAAATCAAATATGCAATGAAATATCCGTCCATTCTACCTTATTTTCATGTCGGTGTCATGTAAGCACTTAGAGTTTCATAATTTATACATTTTTATACATAAATGTTTTACTGTTGGCATGATGCTGGTAAGTCCATGATCTTACGACTATTCCAGAAGATAAAGTGCGATGACAAGCCATACTGCAGTCATAAAGGGAATGTTTGATGGAGCGTCAACCTCAGAGAGTATTGTATGTTTTTAGATATCTATTATATTCCATCCAGAGGGATGGTTCGGTAAATAGAATCGGCATAAATCACTTGTATATTTTATGTATATTCGCGGCAAACCGTTTTGGGCGGGGACATATTATTTATACTGTAGATATCACACCCCTTATTACAATGGTCCAGACAATCTTATCCACTCTTGTAGACTATATAGAGGTTAAAGGTGTGGGAATTGTACAATTTATGTGGCATTATTTGATTTATAGTATCTAGTTTTTCGAAAAGATCTTAGAAGAAGCCGCAAAATGGGGATTCTTTTTATTATAATTATTCCAAAGTCTGTTTGTTCCTAGGAACAGTTTATCGTATAATTACATTACACCCATACTTATTTTTTTATAGTATTTTAAGAAGATTTATAGCATTTTGTGTAATATTATTCATAGAGCGCCCTTGAAGACAATGTTCAAGATAGTTTTTAAAGTATTTTTATAACTTTTTGTAGTACCCAGTATTTGTGGAGCAACCATCAACCGGCTTGATCAAGACTGGCATCATTTCCAATCAAAAAAGCTAAATATAATATAATATAAATACAGTCGTTCTATCTATGAAAACGTGCTTATATCATGTTCCCTTTTAATCTTTTGTAAGGGTACGAGAACAGAGCCGAATCCATAATAATTAGCACCATCGATAGCATAATAATGGCACATAAAGGCATAAATTAGGAACCGAACGAGCACGACCTTTGGCTTCGATTTCGTCGGCCCGCACGTATTGGGAGTACTTTTTCCATCAAAGGGTTGTGTATTGTGTGGGTAATGAGAGCCCGCCGCGCTTTGTGGCCTTATCAAACGCGGAGTATGTCAGTTTATTTGTATACTTTTTCTCAATTTTGTTTATAGCTCGAAGCGCCATAAATTAAGGAACGCCTGAGGGCCCCGCCGCAAACTCGGAACGAAAGCGCAGCGCAATGGCCAAATTCCACCGCGTGTGGTCCATTCTCCTTCTTCTCACTGTGGCCCTGGTGCTCGTTTGGCGGAACTTGCAACAGGCTCAGCGTCTGGCACAGCCACAGATCTCCAGCAGGAGCAGCAGCAGCAGATCGTCCCTTTCCATATATAATCAACCCAACGAATCTTTGTACACCACAGAGCGATACTACGAGGATTATCCGCAAATAGAACATCCTCCCATCCCTCCTCTGACACCGCGCGGGCAAATCCTGCAGCAATTATTGAAATGCCGCTCACGCAATCTGACATTCGCGAGGTTGCAACATGGGGAATACTGGCTCTTGCAGAATCTGATTATTGGCCGCAAGAGTCGTCTGATGCGATGTACGGAGTCGATAACCTACACCACGAATGGGGATTATAAATTCTTTGATAATCTGGAAATGGTGGCCGAACGGTAAGTGTTGAGGCATTTTAAAATTTCATTATCAGTAGAGCCCATGAAATTTTCTGATATCTGTATGGAGATATATACCAAATTTACGATGGTAATGTTTTCTGATATGAATATATACCATATATTTGATGTGTTTTGGGGGAGGTTCAATTCCCATGACAGTGATATGATAGTTCTTATAGCTGCTTTTTCTCGGAAGAGTAGCGGATAGTAGAAGAAAACCGTTAAAAATAGAAAATTTTAAAGCTACCATTACATTCTATATGCAAATTCATAAATTATGATACAAACTAGTAGGTTCTCAAAAAATATTTCAATCGGATTATTATTATAGACAGAATGAAGAAAAAAGACATTTGTGCCTCGAAAAAACCGTTTTAAATGGTACTAAAATCAAGTGAAAATCCGTCGGACTACTGCTATTCTATTTCCATTTGAATACCCAACACTTATATCTAAAAACAACCTTTACTTTCGTCCATAGTTGGCGCGCCCCCATTAGCTTTGCCATCCACGCCCCTGGCTATGATCTAAACACCACACTGGACTCGATTCAATATGTGAAAAACTGTCTACCGGGCAGCGAATACATCAATGACTATGTGACATTTCATGTGTATTTCTCCAATTTGCATATGCCCGAATATGTGCCGTACGACGAGGCAGCTGTGCTGGAGAGGCCCTACTTTTGTGAGCTGAAGAATGGTACCAAAGCGCCGCCGCCATGGACTTTGATACCGCGGGAGGCCATGTACAAGATGTCAGCAAATCTAACATATCCGATTAATGTCGGTAGGAATATAGCACGACAGGCGGCCACAACGTACTTCATCTTCGCCTGCGACATCGAACTGTATCCGAGTTTGGGATTTGTGGAGCAGTTTCTCGACATGGTTGCTGCCAATCATAGCATTCTGGCACTGGACCCCCAGCAGCCACGAAGGGTCTATCCTTTGCCCGTTTTTGAGATCGAGTCGGGTGCCCCTATTCCCAATGACAAGGCGGAGCTGTTGGCTCTCTACCGCGATGGTAGGGCTCAACCTTTCCACATGAAGATGTGTTTTTCTTGTCACACAGTGCCCGGACAGCAGGATTGGTTAAATCGGGCGCCCAGTGTCACGGATGAGCTCCGGGTGTGGAGCATATCATTGCGGGAGAAGGATTTTAAGTACTGGGAGCCCTTCTATGTGAGCGACAACCAGGAGCCAATGTTCGATGAGCGAGTGACGTGGGAGGGACAATCGAACAAACGTATACAGGTAATTAATTAAATATGGATAATTAAAAATATTCGATAACCTTTCGATAATCAATGGCCATTTATCGATGAATATCTAAAGCGAATAGTTAAGGAATCCATAATTCATTCATAAGTAGTATCGATAAATAGTCCTTGAATTCGATTTTAATATAAATAGTCGAATAAATAGTCGAAAGCAAGTCGATAGAGTACCAAAAATTGATTCATAAATAGTCCAACACTATTTAAAAATATTGATAAAAATATTTAACATCTCTCCCGCTCTCGTTATCTCTTATAGAACTATGCCATGTGCCTCTTGGGCTACGAATACCATGTCCTACATCCCGCCTACCTCGTCCATAGCCCTGGCATCAAGAAGAACGCAAGCTCGAAATCATCTCGCAGGACATTCGCCAGAGAAATGACAAGATTCATTAAGAAAAAGGTCGAGCCAGAGTACCAAGTGTTGTATGGCAGAAAAAATGCCTGCGTCACGTGACACAAACACCAGAATTTCGTTTCAGAAAGTGATATTCTCCATTTACTTGCTAAGTGTTTTATATTAAAATTTGTCATATGTAAATATAGAGAACATAAGATCTTTTGTTATTTACAACTATAATATATTTAGGCATTAATCCATTCGATATTTGAATATCCGAAAATAGCGCGAGGTACGCGATCGAGTGTACCAGACCTGTGCAAAATCCTTGGGCACTAAACTGTAATTAAAAGGTCGATATGCTTTAAGGAGGGCTTAAAGGTAATGCTCTTTTACATACTTTATCACTCGGCTGTAGAACAAATGCCAGATATGCCACATTCTCGAGAATCTGGTTTGGCTTACACTTATATGATCCTTGGGCTTCAAGTTCTGCCAGCTGTCAAAAGTGCGCCGTATGAGAAAGGCACCATCCAGGATAATGAAAGTGTAATCCAAGTCAATCATTACCTGGCCCTGGGGAAAGATAGGGGATAGGGAGATAGAAGAAATGTATTCTTTCGACTAGGGGGAAATTTAGCGAATGTACTTTTACCTTTAAATTAGCGCCATGTTCATAAATGGATTCCATTTTATTGCCCTCATCGTACAAGGGTTCCAATTCATTGATGCTCACATAGGCCACGCACGCGTCCATTTTTTTCGAACGACTAAAGATGTAGAGCTCTTCTCCGGCAGTCTGAGTGCTCAACCATTTCATCTGCACATCGATATTATCGTACACGGGACTGATAATATTGAAATCCCTTAAAATCATTATCAATTGAAACTTATTCTGCGCCAATGGCGCCTCCAACACATGAGGGAATGTCAGCAAACAGAAGACCCTAAAAAGGAAAACTATTTGAGGAAGGACAGGGGATGACTTTAAGGGGAATCAAACCTACGTGGTGTAGGGCTGTGATATGTCTGCATAGCGCCAGACATCATGAATTAAGATGAATTTCAAAAACTTTTCAGGAAAATCATATGTCGGCAGCAGTTGAATATCCATTGATAAAACATAATACGTTAGGACATTGAGACGGGCCACATTCCGCATAAGATTCATGGGATATTGGAGCTTCTTTCGATGCCAATAAGTAAGCTCCTGAGTCGCATTTAGATAAATCGGTGGCTTATTACACATAAGAGGTTCCGCTGTGACCCCCATGCTGCCACGCCGAAAATTCAGAGGCATGTGATCCTGGTGCCACACCAGATGTATGCTGACAAAGCGACGCATCAGGACACTCAAGTGCAGGCAGGTATTGATGTAGGCCAAGCCCTTGATGGTCTTATCCAGATCGTCGCCGTTGGCATAGATCGTGAGGCTAATGGGCGCCTTCCACCTGAACAGAAGATACTTTTGAGTGGGGGAATGTTCTCAGGACTCTCTCACCTGATCAGCAACGTTGGCAACAGCTGCAGGTCCACATAGGTGGCATGAGTGGCTAGAGTAACACTTTCATTGGCAACCAAATTTTCGCCCGCCAGTATATAATTATGCCACACCCAGTAGTCCCCATGCTGTCGCACATACCCGGGATTGGGCCTCGTGGAAGAGCTGCCTTGCTCGAAATCGGTTTGAATACTTTGGAACAACAGCTTCAGGAAGTAGCCAATGAGGCCTAAAGTGAGTATCAAAAGGATTTTGGCAAAAAACGGAGACATTTGTCTTTGGATCTTTTTGACAAGAAATACACATTAATACAGGTTATCAAAAGGCTACTATTTTTAATACATTTATTTCAGTAATTGTTGGATTAATTGTATACAAAATGGGCAGCCCTGAACGGACAGCATGGATAACAGAAGAAGTCCTTCCAGGAAGAGGATGCACGTCACTGATGTCATTCGAATTCTTGGACCCTCTCAGCAACGTTGGCAGCAGCTTCAGGTCCACATGAGCGGCATGAGTGGAAAAACAGCTAGTCAGTATCTAGAGAATTTTGGCTAAAAGGAGATATTTATACAGGGCACCAAAAGGCTACTGTTTTCTATAACCTTATTTCAAGTGACTTTCCTGTACCAATAGTAAAAAAACTCGATATATGATCGATATGGAGTCTATAAGAAAGGGATAAGTAAATTAATCTATTTATAATTGAAATGGAACCAATTGATCGGCATTAAATTTAAAAATAACCAATAAATTGAAACAAGCTGTTCCACACCTAAATATTTTCTACTCTTTCTTAACCCCTAACACCAAAAGATCTTAAAATAATCGATCGGAAATCGCTCTTAAATCGAAAAATCGATAAAATGATTTCAAAGTACATATCCTTCTCCTTGGGGCATTACAGACGACAAGCCCTGTTAAATATGTCTACCAAGCCGATGAAAAATGCTGGAAGTCACTAGTTCTTTATCTTTGTACAAAAATCGTTCACCATTGACAGCATTTCGCAGCAAAACATTCGACACGAGCTCCTGCCTTTGAAAATTCTCCGAAGAATCTATATTCGTATCCATTGAAGAACCTTCCATATCCTGCCACCATTTCTGTGGTTGCAAGTGCCACAATTTTTGACCAACTTTGGGCATTACATAGATTATAATTGGTGGCTGCTGCAGGGGATTTTCAACTCTGGATTTTTGAGGTATTTCCTCTCTATATAGAATGGGATTAAGGGGATCCGTGCCATAAAGACGTTGATATTTTTCGCTATTCACCAGAACCATAATCTGTATAAAAGCAATCAATGCCAAGTTATCATAGGCCACAAGCACTGAAAAATTAATGTATATATATCAGAATATGGTAAGTATATGTCCTATATATATGGGACATACTTGCATAGAATGTGAGAGTCAGTGTTAGCAATATCAGGGTCCCTAAGGGCACTACATGTCGTGCAATTCGAAGGGAAATCACCGATATCCCAACTATTTGAACGGTGTACAGGAACTCAAAGATACACAAAGGCATAACATGGTATTTCTTGAGCTAGGGAAGGAAAGGAAAAATTATGAATAAGTTGAGGAATGATGGAACAACATTACCCTATAAGCACCAAAGGCTCCAAGAATACAAGATAGAATATGACAAAAGCTGTAGAGTTGGGTAACCATCATTATTTCCCTGGGATCTGCAGAAGAAATGGGAAGAGCTTAAGGAGGTATTTTCATTTGATTTCCACTTACATTTCTCCACCCAGTTGATGGATTCTTTAACAATAAAACTCGTTCGATAATTTACATCATTTTCAAATATACGGATCACCGAAAACATGAAAGCTGTGCCATTGTCAAAGATCACATACATAATGATGATGCTTTTGCACTAAAAATAGAGCAGAAATATATAGAAATTTTACATATTTAAAACTCCTTTAAGTCTCAAATTTACCATGGCAAAAAAGCATATAACGAGGATACCCAAACGCACTGAAGCGCAAAAGAAATAGGTCGTCATGAGGACCATGTTGGCTCAAAACTATCTTTATTTTCTCCGACATATTGGGGCCTCTATTCGCCATGAGCTCCAGCCAACGAATGATAAATGCTGGCTGTATTTTATAAGCCATAAACTCCATTTACCATATGGCATTCCAGATTGGGATCTCTTGAACATGGTTTTGTCATTTGTTGAGGTAATTGCTTCACCTTTTGTTCTGGCTTTTGGGGGAAGGACAGGACTGGCGCAGTATTTGCTTTGCTGTTGTGGAAATTGGTTAATTTTCCGCTTGATTTATGTTCGAACATTACAGAATAATAGTTGATTCAATATGTTATTTATGGAATCCTATATGTGCTATTGCTCAGTGCGATTGGGTGTCATCATTGTGGCTATTCTAACGATTGTAAGTCCTCTAGAAGGGGTCTTTCTTTGGTTTAATAATTAATTTCCTTTCAGATCCGCTGCATGGCCTTGAGCATTGTATTGTTTCTGATGGGTGTGAAATGTTTTGACCCTTTAATCGATTTATTTGAACACGATTCGGATTACAAGGATCGAAAGTCAATTCGAAAATTAATCAATTGGATAGAAAATTGCAAGTATTTATTTTTCAGGATTTTTTTGGGCATCCACTTTTCAATATATTCCATGTATTTTCCTTCTTTAGCTCCTGAAAATTGCCTAGTTTCATTGCAGGTGTTGCTTTATGCACATACTGCGGCTGCCATTTTGAGTATTTGGGGTTCCTTAAAGGTATTACACTTACATATCCAAAAAAGTTCCTTCTTCAAGAGAAAATTATCTCTTCCTTTCCTTAGTTACAAAAATGGCTGGTGCTTCCCTTGGCCTTTTTTGAGCTAATGTACTTTCTTCAGTTTACCATTCAGCACATTATTCTAATGATAATGCTGAAAAAACAAATCAATTTGGGTTTGCTGATTATACTTACCCTTATAGGTAGTTTCTATATACGTAAGTAGCCTCGTTTGAGGACGAAAACCATCCACTAAAACCCATCTTTTATTGCCAGTTTTTGTGGGCTACAACGCCATCACCTGTGTGGCCATGTTCCAAGTCATTTCTCTGGTGCGAAGCCCCCGCTATCGAGAGCTCTATGGCGATGACCCCTTTCATCCGCTTGCCACGAAGTCCCATCCCCACAAGGACTCGTCGGTGCAACAGCTCAGGGTGCTCAAAATGGACAACGACAACGACATGGACATTGATGAGCAGAAGCGTTTGTCCAAGCTGGGCCTGTGGCCGCGTCGGTATCCACAGGTGGTATCCGTAATTCCTGTGCAGGCGCCATATCCCGCGCTCAAATGGTGGCAACTCCAGGCCATGGACACCGGACAGGATAAGCTGCAGCTGGACTCGTCGGCCGTCTATCGCAACTGGCAGCAGGGGGAGCTCCTGAACGGCGTGGGCGGCGAGGTGCAGCGAAAGAATGCGCTGAATCGTCGCTATGCCGAAAGTCAAATGCATCGATGGTACTAGGAAACGGTGGATCTTTAATAGGACACACTCTTGTTGTGGTCCCTTTAAAAGATTGGTGAATCCTTTATCAACTTATTTAATAAAACCATCGATTGCTCTTTTGTGCACTTAACAATCGTGGGACGAGCTCCTCTACATTATCCTTGGCTTTCCACTCCCAAAACTTTTACGATTTCTGGTTTCGTCGGACTTTTTTTTTTAGCATAAACGACACTACAGATTATGCAACTGTCTGGGAAGGACACTTTGCATATCCTGCGACGACCAGGAAGTGGGCAGGTGGGGGGTGGGGGGTGTGGGGTGTGGAGGATGCTTCAATGGTTGGGATTCGACTTACAAATGCTTTTTGCCATTTTACATTCAACCAACAAAATGCACAGCAGCCATGGAAAGAAGAAAGAGAAAGCAGCAGAGAAACAGAGAGAGATAGCATCAAGGAAGAAGAAGGCGAACGAGCAGGAAAGAGAGAGTGAAGTAGAGAGGGAATGCCATAAGAAATGGCCGTTGGACCATTGTGTTTGATGCAACAAAAAAACGACAAACAAAAAATCAAAGTGTCTAACAATTGGCGACGGATGCAATGGACCATGAGCCTTCTTTCGGATAAAGCCATGGGGGGATACCAGCGATACACTCAATTTCTCTGTTTCTCTCTCTCTCTCTCTCTTTTTATCTCTCTGTGTGTTCGGCAACAACAAACTCTCTGCCACATGGACACGACTTGTCCTCAGGAGATTTCGTAGCTGTGCTGTGTGCTGACAGTTTTGTTGACTGCTGGTTGCTGTTGTTGTTGGCCCTGTTGCTGGGCACAACTTTTGCTCTAATTTAATTAAAAGTTTTCACTTAAAAAAAAAGCAACAACAAGGGCCAAAAAATATATGACAAGCCCAAGTCAATCAGATTTATGGTCTACTGAGACTTCAAAATTGTGCCACAAAATAATTGCTTCCCTTTTCTATGGAGAATGGAATTATCCCAAAAATAATTTAAAACAAATATAGTAAATAGAAAAATATAATTTTAAAATGAACGTTTCTTTCATTCTCCCCTTTGCGCATTTAAATATTCTCTGCTATTCGTTTTCCTAATCATTTAATGGCATAATCAGGGCATAATCAAGGCAAACATTTTTTAAACGTTTCTTAATTTTTCAGCACACTTCAGGACTTTTCAGACCATGGAAGGGGACACACGGACACACGTAAGCCGCTACGTGTCGCTGATTATCTGTCGTGTGCTTAGCACGGGATTAAGTTGCCAAAGAGAAGAAAAAAAACGTGCCAAAAGTGACAGAGACAGAGAGAGAGAGACAGACAGAATAGGAAAGCACTAGAGGGCGTTGGATTAGTATTTACCAGGAGCGGACTTTGGGAAACCGGTGGTAAATAGAGGATACAAAGAATTTCCACATGCTCCACAAATCAGAAGGGATTTCACTGGCAATAAACAACAAAAACTCGATTCCAAGAAGAGCGCAAATATTTGGAGTATAAATGTAAGGTGAGGCATGGGAGGGAACACTTCCACAAAAGTCGGTTATTTTTGCACTTACTGAAGAAAAGAGAGAGCGGGAGAGGCACCTACTAATCAAAGTTATGGAACGCCTCACCTTTAATTGTGACACTTGGAATGAGAATGCGTGCACGAAAGCTCTGCAGCTGCGCTCTCTCAGAATTCCTCTTGTTTTACAGAGACAAAATATAAAGAGACCCACTAAGCCGCCAACGCAGGTGGATTATCATTAGCATTAACATAAGCACTAACATTAACATTAACACTTCACTCTCCACTATACCCACAAGCGGCCTCTGCACAGGAAATATTCGCTCACCGTTTACATTTGGAGAGAGAGAGTTGAAGACGGAATGCATGCAAATCAATGAAAGAGCAGTTAGACAGAGTACGAGTATAAAGCCGCCAACGCAGGTGGATTAACATTACGATTAGCACTAACATTAACACTTCGCTCTCCGCATGCCCACAAGTGGCCTCTGAACACGAAATGTTCGCTCATCTTTTACATTTGATGAGAGAGAGAGTGGAAGACGGAGAGCATGCAAATTAATGAGAGCAGTTAGACAGAGTACGAGTATAAAGCCGCCCACGCATCTGTACCGCTCTCGCGCTTATTTCCCACGCTCCATAATCAATAAAATGCACGCGCCAAGTCAGCTGCGCGTTTTCAGGCCGATAAAAGCCAGGAACATTCGGAAAATCAAATGGAACAAAGTGTTCCGAAGTTATGTACTGTCCCGGTGCGGGGAAAAATTATGAAAATCAAACGGTTATGAAGCAGATCGTAGAAAGAAATTTGAAAAGTGTGTGAATATGTAGTGCATTAGAGCTACATACATATGGCTGTGTGTTATTTACTTATGTATGTGTATATGGGTGAAATGTGTGAAAATAACAGGAAACAAAAAACAGGAAAATAACAACAATAGAATCGTTAGCCCGTTAAAGACACGGAGGGCAAATAATTCTTTCACCTAACTAGTACACAAAAAATTAAATTACAAAGAAAAATGATCCAAAATCAGGTAAAAAAATAAATTTAAAGGTAAGAGAAAGAATTAAGTGCTTTTGTGTTTCTTTATTGGGTATACATATTTTTATTCTCAGTGTAAATCTGTTATTTCCCCTTCTTGCTCCTTTTCTTTGGTAAATGTGTTCCTTTTTACTGCCGTTTTGTCGGCCCTCGGGACACCTTCAAGTCCGCTCCTGGGCCAGACGATGTGTGACATTTACCTTAAGAGTGGGAGGAGTGAGAGCCAACAAGTGGATGTGCTCCAGGGGGCTGTTTGGCTAGTAGACAACCCATAATATTCCATTTACACCCACTCGCAAAATAGCTGCAAGGACTTTTAATTCAATGTGCGTGTATGTGCACGGCTGAAAAGGATTTTTGGGGCCCAAAGCGTAGATGCCAAAGTGATTTAGATATCCACTTGCGACTAAGTTGCAATATTTTGTGAGAACGATAAGGAAATATCTACGAAAGGAGTTGGAATTTCAATGAGAAAGGATTTTCCAGCTTTCATTTCTAGGATTTCCATCGAATGATACTCTGAAGGTCCTCTAATTGATTGATCTCTGGGTTTCTTTTACACATTTTACACATTTATTACCAGACATAAAGCATAAAAATACCAAATAAAAGGAGAAATTATTAGACCCGCTCCCTCCCCCCATCCCGTTTATATGGTGGGCAGATGATGCTCTGTGCGATGGAGGAGATTTCCATTCTTGTTCAAGGGCTGCAGCTTCCCGTAATCCTGATGCGGATGATGATGATGCTGGGTGCCGGTCAACAGCGGCAATGAGGTGTTTGAAGTCTGCAAAGAGAAAGGATTGCGTATTAATTATATCTTTAAGATGCCATCCATATCTCACCTTTGATTTATCACGAGCCGCTGCAATGGCTGCCGCCTGGCCCGCACCCGTTTGTAGCTGCTGTGCGGCTGTGGCAAGCATAAACTGCTGTGAGGCGAGCTGCTGTTGCCGCACCGTGGCCGCCTCCAGGCTATTGATGTGCTCCTGTTCTCGCTGCTTGGCTATGTAGTCGTCGAAGTAGGAATGTTTGATCAACTTTTCGCAGGACCAACGCTTCACCGGATCCTTGTCCAGGCATTTCTTTAGAAAGTCAATGGTCAGGGGATTCTGCAATGATTTGGGCGGCATTTTATCCTCCAGCGGCTCCAGCGTTGGCGGCACCGGCAGCGTTATCCCCTTGAAGTACTCGTTCTGCCCGAAGATCTGTATGTGTCGCGGCAGGAGATCCCCCAGGGTTTTCCGTATCAGATACAGCTGATCCACATCGCTGCGCCCCGGCCACAGAGCCTCCCCTCGCACCAGTTCCGCAAAGAGGCATCCAATGGCCCACACGTCCACGGGTGTGCCATACTGTATGTCGCCCACGAGGAGCTCGGGCGCTCGATACCATCGGGTGGCCACATAGTCTGTGTAGTTCTCCCCAGGACTCAACATTCTGGCGAAGCCAAAGTCGCACAGCTTCACCTGTCCCTGGGCCGTCAGCAGAATGTTCTCCGGCTTGATGTCCCTGTGAAGACAGCCCTGCTTGTGGCAATAGGCCACGCCCAGCAGGGTCTGGTAACAGATCTGTTTGGTTAGATGCTCGGGGCAGCCCTGCGGATGGCGTTCGAGCTCGTGGAGGACCGTCAGTTCACAGAACTCAAAGACCAAGTGCAGGCGACGCTTACGACGAAAGACTTCCAGTAGGGAAACCAGATTCGGATGCTTAAGGTTCTGCCAGATAAAAGATATGTACAGACGCCTGTAAAGATCTGTGGGAATCGCCTACCTTCAATAGCCTTATCTCTCTCAATGCAATTTTTCGAATTGCCGGATCGTCTTCGGACTCCACGAATCGCTTGACCGCCACTAGGGCGCCCGTCTCTCGATCCCGACACTTGTAGACAATACCATAGGATCCCTCGCCCAGTCGACTCAACTTCTCATAGCGATCCATCTTGCTGCTACCTTGTGGTCTACAATGGAGAGGGGGATAAATTGAAAACCAAAAGATTATTTCCGATTTCGGGGATTTCCATCGTTCTAACATTCAGATTTTGAGGCTTGAGCGGGTTTTACGTTTACCTTAGACTCAAACATTGACCACGTTTGATGTTTGCACGTCGCATTGCTTTGCATTGGGCACATAAAATGTCTAGAAATTTTGCTGTTTGATATCTCAGACACGAACACATGGAACACACAGAGATACGTACACGAGAGGATATATGGAATGGATTTTTATGGATTACACGATGAATTTTTGTTGCTGTTGTATTTGTTGTTGTTGTTGTGGCTATTTACAAGTTTTTTGTTCCAGAATTATTGCATGATTTTTAGTTTTTGGATGAAATGAACAAAAATAACAAATGAGAAAAAGTTTTAGAATGTTTTAATTTGTTTGTTGCACTTTAAGTGTAATTTTATAGAATATTTTTGGTAGGAAAAGTGCTTGATTTTTGGTCCATGAAAAGTGGGAGTTTAATTTTTGTACTTCTTGGGGATTTATATATTTTTAGGGGTAGTTTTTTGTGGATTTATGTATTTATTTTAGAGGTATTTCTTTTCAACGGAATGATCTTGAACGTAAATCTCTGTTTATTTTAAATGATTTCTGATATAAGAAATTCTTTTTGAACTTATTTGGGGCTCAAGCCGCTATATTTCCCAATTTTGCTATAACTCTATTCCTCTATTTTCTAAACTCTATTATCCGTGCATAAAATCAATATATTTACTATCCAAACTTCGAATAGATACATAGCCAATTAGCTCCCCTCCAACCCCTCCCATTCCGCATTAACACGAAACCAAAATCGATTTTCAACAGAGAATTTTCCTTTCAAAAACTCACTATTACATGGCTTTTTCGAGGAGCTTTTCCCGAGTGATAAGTCCTCCGGTGGTGTGGCAGTTCAATGCCAATCCGTAGAGCGGGAGGTAAGTGAACTTTGTTCGAGGCTTTTCCACACAGAGAGTTTTCCTAACATGTGTGTAGGTCATAAACAGAGTACAGAACATAACATGCAATTAAATATTGAACCGTGCAGGTGCAGAACAAACAGTTACAACGAAACACCAAATAGGGCGGAGAGCAGAAGGAGAGAATGTGGCAAGCAGGTGACTTACCTAGGAACCCATCTGGCTAATATCTGACGAATTTGCCACTAAATTTACAGGTTTGCAAATGAATTGAATTAAATTTTGGTTAAATTTTCGAAGCAAAAAAAACTCTACGATACACACCATGCGCCCACAAATAAACTTCAAAGTATCCTTTCGGGCGCTTCAATCAATATGGGGAATTTTTTTCTATCTGCGATAGTTGGACGTTTGTTTTTTATGAGTGACAGCCAACGACTGTCTATCGGTTCCTGGTTGTGGGTCCTGGGTCCTGGCCCTTTCCTTTGCCGCTGGCCAATGTCATAGCAATGCGACCAAAGTTAATACAAGCACAAAAAACCACAACAAAAGCCAAAACCATGCGCACAAAAGTTCCACAAGAAGTTTTCACCCTTCAGCAAGGACGGGAGGGGTGGCAGCCCCCACAACACCCTACTACACCCATCCCCCATTTGTTGGGTGTTTTTTTTTTGTTTGTTAACGACAAGCGGAAGGAATTTGAGGCGTAGTTCTTTGCCTTTCTTTTGCATTTCTTTCCCCCCCCTTGTTATTTTACCTTCGGGAGGAACGAAGTTTTCTCTAAGGAAAAACTGGGTTTTTCTCGGCCGGTTTTCTTGTAAAGGAAGAACTAGTGCAGCAGTGCACTGGGGTGTCTGTCTGTAGGGTGTGGTTTCATTCATTATTTATTAATGTATAAATGTTCAAGCAAATTATACCATAATTAAGGTTACCTTTTTTCTTGGGTAATACTTTCTTGGGTTCTACTTTCAGAGTGATTCTACTTTTAGAGGGTGCAACGTGGAGTGGTTCTTCTCTCAGAGGGAGGGGATCTATGAGGAATGCTTCTACTGTAACAAGGGATTCTACGACCGAATGGACAGTGACTTTGTTGGTCTGTTATTACAGACATATTAGGGATGATTTGTTGCACTTATTACTGAAAATGAAGGATGATTTGTTGCACTTACTACTGGAAATTAATGGCGATTATTGTGTAAAGTGCATTTGCTGATTGATGATTGCCGGAAAGCTCCATTTGACTATATGATTCTGGAGTACTTTTGATAATTCTTCAATTGCTTCATTAATTATGCAAATTGTTGTTCACTTTTGATTGTTGTTGAGGAATTGTTGTAGTATTGTTTTTAAGGAGTGAAAGTGGGAACTAGATTAATGATTGGGGATCATAAAAGGGTTTTATGCAGGGACTGCAACTGTTCTACGATTTTAAATAGAAATTGAAGTCTAAAATTTATTTCCCAATTTTTATTATTAATTTTTATTAAGAAAATGCTTATCTTTAATATTCGTCCTTGAAGGACATGCGATATGTCATATGAAACGTTTTAAATCATAGATCAGGAATATTTGTATATGTTTGGTAATACACCACTTGTTTCAAAAACAGATATATATCTTTTTTTTCATTTAGTAAGGGCTTTGTAAAACGGATATTCAATTTAAGTTTTTTTTTTATTTTTTTAAATTAAACATTGATTTGTATCTTTTAAAATAAAAATCAAATGCAATTCTTACTTTTTATTTTTATTGATATAATAAAAACAGTGCTGTGTCTGATTTTTATTAAAAAAAAATGCGTTATTTTGGATTCTTTCATAAAAAATTGGGAAATACATAGTTGTTTTTCTGATTTCGCTAAATATGATTTTGGTGTACTCAATGTTGCCTTAACATATTTTTATTAACACATTAACACACATTTGCGGTCCCTGGTTTCAAGGTTTTTTTTTTAGTGGAATTTCATTGGAAGGTGAACTGAATACTGAAACTAAAAATGGTACTTCCTTTGAAAGATTTTTGGTTCTTGTTTGTTATACAAATTCTATGCAATTAATTCTTCATTCTAAAGAGAAAAGCTTCAAGTGATTGTGTGATATATCTTCCTTTTGGAATTTATCATTAACTAATTCTTTCCCAAAGAATAGAACTGGTTCCAATGATCTTTTTCATATAAATCGTTCATGCTTTATTCCACAAAAAGGATTTTCATTGAAAGTTTATTTGAAGCAAGAGGTTTTCTTAGCTTCTTCTAAAGTTCTTGCAAATACTAGCTACGGAGTCTCATCACACATACAAACTTAATGTCTATGCCACAAGAAGAGCTTTAACCATTTAAAAAACATTTCATGCAACATTTACGAGCTTTATTTTACTCTTTAAAATAACTCCCATTCACATTTCCCCTTGAAAAAGATTCCATTTCTTACCTCCTCAGAGAAAACAGTTTGGATATCTCAAACATTTTCATTGCTAACGAGAAATACGAGTATCCTTCAAGCACTTTTCTAGGTATAGATACGAGTATTTAGTATGTCTTCCTTGGAGCCTTCGGTGAAGAAGACCTTCTCGAAGGAGGAAGCGAAGCGTAGACCTGCGCGAAAAGCGAGTTTCTCTGTTGCAATGACGAGGACACACGATGTGGAAACGTCAAGAGCCGGCAAACAACTGAAGGCAGAGGCCAGTCGGTGTTTTTTGGCTAGAATCCGCTTCGAAATGGAGTTTGGAAAAGGGAAATGGAAGTGTAGCAGTGGCAGTGGGAGTGACACGGCCTGGGCGGCGCATGCAACGGATGGACATTGCATATGGACGATGGCGACTCTGATTTCAAGTTGATTTCCACATTTCTTTTGTTTGTTCTGTACATGTGTCGCGTGTTGCATTATAAATGCATTAAAAAATGCAATATGATATATGGAGGAATATCACGCATACGAAGTGGAGAACATGTCAGATATAAAACAAGAAGGGCTATCTTTGAGGGATGATTCGCTTGATACCCTTGGATGTGTATCAGAAGGGTCTATAGTTTCTGCTTCCAGGGTATCAAAAGTAGCGGCTTTTGTCTTCATCTTTTGACCTTTCTGGATGGCCTGACGGAGTGACCTATCAAGAGACCCCTCCTTATCCAATCAAAAGCCACACCATTCGAGTGGGTTTCTGCCATTTAATTTGCATAATTACAGTGAAGTCTCCATCGACAACGCCCCCGTCCATTATACTCCAGTCCTTCTCTACTTTTCTCTCGCACTCCTTCTCTCGTCTCTCGTTTTGCCTTTTGTTCTGGCTATTTATACATATATTTGACAGCTTTTGTTCCTCCGTGTAAATACTTTTACATTTCTCTCCAACGCCGCCGCCGGCGCTCTTTTTGCTTTTAATTATCGTACTGTTATTCTTCTCTCTCTCTCCCTCTCTCTCTTGATATTTGTTGTATTTTTGTTGATTGTTGTATTTATTGTTCTATTAAGCGTGATATTTGCATTTCGATTTTTTTGGGGTCAACGGCTGTTCAACTTTCTGACTTTTGGATTGTAGGCGGAACGGAACTATTGTTGTTTGGTGGCGCCTCCTTTTTGTAGTACTATTGATTGCCCCCCGTAGTAATTGTTTGGGGCAGGTAACGGCACTTGGCAGAGTGCAAAATATATAAAAGTTTCTCAAGTGTTGGTGCCGATGTCTGGGAAAATCAAATAAATTATGAAGCAATGGACTTTGATGTTTGTTTTAAGGATTTTAAAACAAAGCTCCCTGTTTTATTTGGTTTTGGGTTGGATTTTGGAAGGGTTTTTGTGTGCTTAAATTAAAGTTTAGATGGGAAATAATATGCGAACGAAACACTTTCGTTGATTGAGTATTTGTTAGTTTATTTTGGAATATATTATATTATTATATTATAAATATTATATTATTTTACTCTTAATCGCTGGCTGCTGTAGTTGCTGCTGCCGGGAGTGCATTAAGCATTAGGGAGAACCATGATAAAACCATACGTTGCGCTCCCGCAACACGCTCTCTTCTCGGGTCTGATTTCGCTCAGTACAACAGCAATTTTCGTTCTTCTCTCTCTCTCACAAAATATGCTGTTCAAGCGCTCTCAGTAGTTCTGGGCGTTAATTAATTACATCATGGATAGAACGAAGATAAAATGTGTCAGCGAACACAACGCAGACGAGAGAACACGATCACTACCTGCGCAAACTGCAAAAAAGGAACCGCAAGAAGAGAATAGACCTCGGAGGTTGATTGAATGTTAAATTGGAATGAATCGCAATTGCCGCAATGCTTGAAGAGAAGGCGCGTCGAAATTCCGTCCCTCCTTCGATCTGACTTTTGCGCTCTGGAGGATGTGATGTGAAAACGGAGACCACGAAAATGTAGATAAGGAGACAAGAAAGCTCTGCAGCAACGAGCGCTGCAATCGTGATCGTTCGTCCCGTGAGCAGAGCCTCGGGCGTCGCGACGCGTCGTAGGTTATTTCGAGCTTCGTTACTCTCTTCATTGCTCTCCCAGCAGCAACAACACTGCGTTACACCAGGCAGAGACGACTCTCTGGCTAGCTCTCAGGCCACGCGCTCTGTTTTTTCCATTTTTTTTGCATGTTTTACAATTGGTTTTTGCTTACAGAAATCGTATAAATTCCATTTCCTTTGTGTACTTCTATCAAAAGTCATTAAATTTGATTGTAAATCATTAAAACCAATTTTTTTCTACACCATTTTGAATGATACACATTCCTGAAAACCAAGTACCTTCTAACCGTATCAATTACCTGAACTCTTGGCCTGAAAACTGCCCTTTTGAATAGCAGAGAAAAAGCCATGCGCTCGCATTTCATAAACTGGTCTAAAAACAGCTCGCAAGCATGGCTCCGAAATACAAGCAGTGCAATGAGAAACTTTTCCCTGCTGGGGCAAAAAATAGAAATAAATAAATGCCAGGCAATGAAAAGTTTTACGAGTACGAGAAAAATGGCAAAACGCTGGCATTTTCCAGGCACAAAAACAGATACGAGAGGGGAACGCAGAGGTGTTGAGGATGCAGGGGATGGCATGGGGCATGGGTATTGGTTAGCGGCGTTGTGCTGACGTGGCCTTGTGGCAAAACAAGCGTAAAATGCAATAAATAACAAGCTATTAATGCCAAATGTTTGCACACGCACTAAGCGACCCTTGGCGCTGAGGTAGCATGGGTGTGCGAAAAGCATTGCCTACTTAGAGAGAATACATGGCCCGAAAGGAGCCAAAGGGCCCAGGAGAGGCAGGGGCAGTGGCAGACAGCAGCGTGTGTATGTGGCAAGAGGCATATGCGTGTGCAAACAAAGGCCAAGGCCGCTGCAACACGACCACGACTTAAATGTCATTGGATAAAACTTTATCCTCTCTCTTTTTTTGTAAGATACCCTTTCAAAAGGGGCACCTGGTGATTTGCCGACATCGAGTCGATCCTTTTCTACTTCGGTCTCTTCCTTGACTTTTGGGATGAAACAATTCACAGCACCTTAGTTTTCTTCCACCACTATTTTCATTTTACTATTTTCGAAGGTAAATAGCTCTTGCAGCGCTAATTTTAGTATTATTCTGGTACTTTTCTAGTATATTACAGATGTTTTCTACCATTTTAAGGTATTTCATGGTATTTTTTGAGTATTTTCTGTGCTTTCTTTAGTATTTATTTTTCGAGTATTTTCTCATTACCATATACTGGTATTTTTTGGTATTTAAAAGTATTTTAAATCCAAAATTCAGTATTTTTATATTATTTTTTCTGTTTTTTGTAGTATTTATCTAAAATTTATTTTTTCTTGTATCCTGTTTTCCAAATACTTTTCAACGGACGGTTTGAAGTGGAACCGGCTAGAACGTCTCTCACTAACCCTCTCTTTACCATGAAATTACTTATCCTTTATCATATAGCTCCACCAGAAATAAAACTTAAAGAAGGGTATTAAAACCCTTGACTTCCATTCCGTATTCAGTTTCTGTTATTTCTGTTTTTGCACAATTTTTCACTTTCATTTGGCAGCACTGTTGGCCGCCGCATAAAGTTTGGGGCAAGGCTAATTAGGGCCCATAAAATTTGTAGCTTCGGTTTCATTTTCAGACCCACCTGTACTGCCGGGCCGCATTTAGATCCTCCTCATTGCACACTTGAAGCTTCTGTATGAGGCGGTATAGAAACGATTTTTGGAATGTCTGCTGGAAGTAATAATTCTGAAACATTTCACGGGGCGGCCAGAGGTACGCTCGGCTGCAGGGTTTCCGGTTGACTAAGGCTCTCCCCTGCGGCAGTCTGTTCTTTTATTTTATCGATACACGAATTAAATGATTTAAAATGCATCGGAACATACTGAATATTTGATGCCTGAATTGCTGTATTCCTGCCACCAGAGACAGGTGCAGCAAGCAGCACCAGTAGCTTTGATTCTGACGTGTCTGTCGTGATGGCAGCTCGTCTTTCCTTTCATTTCTTTTTCTTTCTTTTTGGGTCAGCAAACAAGCGGCAACGCTGGCGGAGCAAAAGGTGTCTGAGGCCCGACACATGCAAATGAATCCAGGTCCCGACCCCCCATTATGCGAGAAGACTGAGAGTTGGAAAGGAAGGAATGAAGGGAAAACGAAACAGATTCTAGGAAAAAAAAAACGACATTCGCCACATGCAAATATGAGCCTTACAGCTGAAAGGAAAGGAAAAAGGTTCCATGGAAAGGCTTTCTCTGCGAATGCGAACGACTGTCAAAATTTGGGCATGGAAAGCACCATACAGAAAGAAAAGTCTGGCAAAAGCAAGAGCTACTTATGGAGAGATTTCTTAAACAGAGTTGAGAAGAGAGGGGGAGAGAGAGAGAGAGCCAGGACGATAGCCAAAAGAAGGTATTATGAAAATAATCTGAAGTGAAAGACGTATAAAAATAGCTCGGAATAGCTTTGCTAAAATAAACGAATTTTGACTAGTATTTTGGTATTTTTTACCGTCAAATGATATGAATATTTTGGTATTATTTTAATATTCTCAGGTATTCTTAGAGTTCATGGTTTTATATCATTATATACAATTTTGCGGTATTTTTTTTTAATTTCTGGTATTTTCCAGATGTATTATGAATCGGCAATTGTCTAGATTTCCTGGCATTGCACAATATTTTATAGTATATGGTTACCATTTCTAAAATTTTCTGGTATTTTTATAATATTTTTTGGCAGCTTTCTGGTACTTTTCTAGTATTTTTTTCTTTTTTACCCACAAAATTTATGAAGAATTGATTATTTATCTTCCTCTGCATCCTATATTCCTTCTTTCCTATAAAATAGATCGATGTATCTATCCTTCATCTGCCTCTCTACCCACTAATCTATGTTCCAGTACAGTATCTTTTTAGATCTATTTGCTTTTCGTTCTGTTTGACAAATACTTTCTCCCATCCAAACCACATTTCTCTCCCACCCCGAAGCACATGCCACGCCCCAAACCACAATCCATTTCCCCCCCTTGTAAGCAGGGCGACGGACTGCTTAAAATGATTTCAATCAAACACAAATATTGTCGAGCACAAATACGTGTACAACTTTGTAGATATTTTTCCATATTTTTCTCGTGCAGCTGCAGTGCAAATGGCGTTGACATGTGCCCAAAGGGGTACTGCCACCCCACTCCCAATCCCACTCCGTCTGTCTGTCGTGTCTGTCGAATGTCTGTCCGCCCGGAGAAGCATTAAAAACCGCTAAATCATCCGCTACTGCCACTACCGCTGCCAATAAGTATGCAATATTCCCATTTCGAGCTGCTTGTCGGGGTCCTGTATGGATCCTGTATCCTGCTGCTGGAGGACGGGGAAACCCAAACAAAAAAGTCAAACAAAGCGACGAAGCGCATATCAATGCATTTTGATGTCTGTGTACTAGCTCTTTCCTTTCTTTTTCTTGCATTTCTCTTTGCTTTACTTCCATTTTCCCATTCCCTTTCCCTTTTTCCCCCTGCACATTTTCCTTTTGATTGAATTTCAATTTGATTGGAGTTTTTCGCCTGTTCTTTTCCTCTCCCCTTCCTCTATTCCGATGATGGAGTTTTCTGTGTTTGTTGAATAGTTGTCGGGCTTCGGGGGCTTTTCCCTCCAAGTTATCTTTGTTTGAATGCAGCTCATTTTGCTGTCAATTGTGGGCGGCTCGAGGGGAAGGACTTTCATCTATTAAATAATTAGCCTTAAGGTTAATTTAAACACTCATTTTGCACACAACTTCAACGGGACCCTATTCGCTTGAATGCCAACACAAAACACAAAACAAGGTCTCTTTTTTGCAATAAAACAATATCAGGGCCAAAAACTTATGAGCTATCAGTCCCACCAATCTTCAAGTTCAAGTTCGATGGAAAACAAATGCATATTCGAGGGTTTTCTCGAAGGACTTGATGAATATTTCCATCAAGGCAAGGCAATGCGAAACGTACAAAACCTACGAGTTGCTGTTACACGATGCGGGATTTCATTGACGTATGTATTTTCTTATGTATTGTGTCTGTGGTTCCTTTTCAGCAATGAACATTACCGACGGGATTTCCGAAAAATTACGAACCAAACGTGTTCAAATACATTGTTCCATTCTTTTATGAGTATAAAGCTTTTAGGTATATTTTAGTTATTTGATGCATAGTTTAGTATCTAAAACTGTAGTATTGTAATTTTTGTAATATTTGCAAAACTTTTTAGTAATTTTTCTTAATATTTTTTAAGTATTAGCATTATTTTTGTATTTTAGTTATTTTTAGTATTTTTTTTAAATTATTTGTAGCATTTGCATGAATTGTATTAACTTTAGTATTTTGTACTTTTTAGTCATTTGAATATTTTTCTTGGTATTTGGCAGTATTATTCGTATTTGCATTACTTTTTTAATATTGTTTTCAGTATTTTAGTAAAGTGTATTATTTTTAGTACTTGAGGTACTTTTAGTTGTTTTAGTAGTTGGAAGTAATAATAGTATTTTCGATATTTTTTAGTTTTTGCAGTGTTTTCTATAATTTATTATTTTTATTTATTATTATTATTTTATTAATATTATATTTTTTTTATTTTTAGCATTTTGTTTAAAAATATTTTTTGTATTTGCCTGATAAATTTTCCAAGTAATTTTAGCATTTTTATTTAGTATTTTGAAGTATTTTTAGGTTTTGTAAACTTTTTGATTTTTTATAGTAGTTTTAAAAAACCCTGTAGTATTATGAGGATTTAATCAAGTGGCATTATGTTAGTATTTGTATTAGTATTTGTCTAGTATTCCAAAAAAATATTCAAAAACATTTCGAATGATATTGGAATCAAAATACCAAAATATGCCGCCAAAAAAACACCGTCGGCAGAAAACGTATCGTATAACAGCACCTCAAACGTTATTTTAATAGTTTTTTTAACCGAATTCTGACAAGAAAACTTACCTTCTGGGCAGAAGTGGAAGATGATTACCAAACAGCCAGAGACGTTTCTCTCCAAACCATTTGTCCATAGACAAGCGATCCACTAATTGTTCTTTAAAATTTGTTCAAATTGTTAGGAGTTTTTGTTGGAATTTTGAGCCAATTTTCCAGCATTTCATACAAGTTTGAATTAATTTTTCACACGCGTAATGCGAGACGCGAAAATTACGCGTCCGTTGGCCAAGAAATATTAACAAACTTTGTTTATATGCCAGAGAGCCGTAGCCGTAGCCCCGTAATTGTAGCCCGTATATTTTTTTTACATGCGCCGGCATTGAAAAAAGCCGACAACAGTCACGAGAAGAAGACAATGGCGGGGTTTTCGGGGGCAACGGGGGCACTGGGGGTTTGTTGGGGTGTTGGCGACGGTTGACATTGGCAACGGCAGGTCGCCGGCGTTGCAGGGTAGCCGGTAGCCCCCACACGGCGGGAACGGTTTGATTTCTTCTTGTATTTAAGTTTATTAATAGTGTTGTTATATTCTTTGTTTTTGTTGTTGTTCTTGTTGCTCGTTCCGTTGTCAATCCTGTTGTCATTAAAAACAAACAACAAAATTTGTAGAAAAGTTTACGCTTTGATTTCGATTTGGGTTTGGGTTTAGGAATGGGTGTCGGAAAAATTGCGTGAGTTCAGAGTTTGGGTAAGTGATTAAATTGGGCGGGGCATACACGTGTGGAGGAGTCTATAGTTAGAATTGATAGCTGGAATCGCTTTTTTGTAGTTAATGTTCAATGGAGGTGTAATCACGATTTGGGCCATTCTTAAGCGTGTCAAAGTGAAGGTCAATGGAAGATTATCTCGTTACGGATAAAGAAAAAGATAGTATAGTAATATAGCATTTATGAAAGAATTATCTGGAATTATTATGCATTTTTTTGGGTTTATCTAATATAAATTAAGGCTTTAATGTAATTAAAGTCAAACTTGAATCTTTTTATAGCCACCTCCTGGTGTGAGAAGATCTATTGAAGCCATAGGAAAGGCTGAAAAATACAGAAATAATAGTTCCTTGCTCATCCAAAGTGACATTCCCAATCTCCATTTGTCCTCTGTTTCACTGTTTTTTGTTCCGCAATCCCCGCATTCAAAATGCATGCCCCGCCGTGTCCGTTCCGAATCCCACAATCAAAGCTTATCTGCGAAGCCACCACAAGACGGGTCTGGTCTGTGGCGCTCAATCAGAGAAAGCTTTCACCGAAACACACCAGGAGACTAAAGCACTGCCAATAGCCGCACATTTGTTAAGCCTGGCAATGCCCCCCCGAAGCATTTTTCGGTTGTCAAAGTAACGGCAAATGGCTAAGTGGCAACAGTGTGGCAACTGCTACACCGGCAAAGGGAGGCAAAGGGAGCAACAAATGGGGGTATACGTGGGGGACAGGGAAACCAAAAGCCGGTCAGCATATGGCAACAAAAAAACTCTTACGCAGATACTGTTTCTCGGAACACGAACGGTTTTTCTTACACTAGAAAAATATTAAAATTATATTTAGATCCATTGCACTATTTACATGTTATATATTTATTTATTTAATATTCTTTAATAAATTCTGTAGGTTTTTTTGTTTTAATAGAAGGCTCCTTTACTTTCCCTGGGTGTCTTCATGGAACACTGCCTTTTGGTATAAGAAAAATTACTGAAACAATGTACGAGTCTCTATTTCCCCGATGAAAAACTGTCGGTGAAAAAGCCAAAGTGTTACACCAGCTCGTACACATTTATGTCTGTGTTGGCTTTCTTTTATTTTATTTG